GCTACACGACTGCAAGAGTGGTCAGTTTCGGTGGTGAAAGGCCACCCCGGCCACTGGGCACTGGCTTCACGGAAACACTTCGAGATCGGGCCGTCTGAGGCTTTCGCTATGAGTCGTGATACTCCGCAGTGACCTCGTGGCGCACAGAAAACTTTACCATGACATCCGAAGTAACGCCGGTGAGCGCACTTAAATTACCTTCCTCGGCAAGTATTAGCGCTTTTCATTCTCGATCAAGTTCTCGGGAAAGACACCGGCTAGCTTATTGCAGTCGCCAAGCCGGTGATCGTTTAAAATGCCTCACGTTTGGGCCCCGGGCAGCCGACGAAATGAATAGCTGAGACTTGGCAACCGTCTGGACCGATGGCTCAGGGACGCCAGAACCGCAGAGAAAGCCACAGATGCCTTATAATCGTTGATTCTGTGCGGCAATAATCGTGCATAATCCCCAGATTTGTTGGGGGAAAGTGGGATTGTGGGGTCCCCACGCCAAGTAATGTAATTCCCGGTAGAACCCCGGACCAAATCACGGCAGAACTCCGGCAACTGACTTCCCCTCTCTATAGCTACACAGTCATTAGCTATATAAGTAAGGCCATTGAATCTCGGTATGACTTCACTTCTGAGCAAGCGGCGTCTACACAATGGCTATCACTCAGCTTGTGCTCTCGGGCCTGTTGGCTGCCACAGTGGTCAACGGCCAATCATTTGATGGAACATCTCGAAGTGAATCTGCTTTCAGTTATGTTCAGCCTAAGAACACTACTATCTTGGGCGCCTATGGACACTCCCCTGCTGTTCTTCCCTCGCGTATGTTGTTCCTAATCGGTTTTCATCAATATTGTGCTTGCTAACCGCGACTATAGCCAATGCTACCGGATCAGGCGGCTGGGATGAAGCCTTCTCCAAAGCCCAACAATTCGTAGCCAAGCTGACTATTGAAGAGAAGGCTGACATGGTTACTGGTCAGCCAGGACCATGCGTGGGAAACATTGTTGCCATTCCTCGTCTGGGCTTCCCTGGTCTTTGCTTGCAAGACGGCCCCTTGGCCATCCGAGTGGCCGACTATGCTAGTGTCTTCGCCGCTGGTGTCACCGTGGCATCCACATGGGACAGAGACCTTCTCTATAAGCGAGGCTACGCGATGGGCCAAGAGTTCAAAGCAAAGGGTGCCCATATTGCCCTCAGTCCCGTGGCTGGCCCCCTCGGACGCTCTGCCTACGCGGGCCGCAACTGGGAAGGATTCGCAGCTGATCCTTACCTGACAGGTGTTGCCATGGAGAGAACCATTCGTGGCCACCAGGACGCCGGCGTGCAAGCCACAGCGAAGCACTTCATTGGTAACGAACAAGAGACACAGCGTAACCCTACCTACGACTCCAATGGCACAATCACAGACGTCATTCAGGAGGCCGTGTCCGCCAACATCGATGACCGAACCATGCACGAACTGTACTTGTGGCCGTTTGCCAATGCGGTACGTGCCAGAGCCTCCAGCTTGATGTGCTCGTACCAGCGCCTAAATGGCTCCTACGCCTGTGAGAACTCTAAGGCCCTCAATGGCTTACTAAAAGAGGAGCTCGGCTTCCAGGGCTACGTTATGTCTGACTGGGGTGGCACTCATTCCGGTGTCGCCTCGATTGAGGGCGGTCTCGACATGAACATGCCCGGTGGGCTCGGTCCGTATGGCACGATTCCCGAAGCCGGGTCGTTCTTTGGCAAGAATGTTACCTATGCAGTCAACAACGGAACTGTGGATGAGTCTCGCGTCGATGATATGATTGTTCGTATCATGACACCTTACTACTGGCTCGGTCAGGACAAGGATTACCCCGATGTGGACCCATCCTCAGCTGACCTTAACACTTTCTCGCCCCGGTCGACCTGGTTACGCGAGTTTAACCTCACTGGCGAGCGAAGCCGTGATGTCCGTGGAAACCATGCCAAGTTGATCCGCAAGCTGGCAGCTGAGGCAACCGTTCTGCTAAAGAACAAGAACAGTGCCCTGCCTCTGAAAGCCCCTAAGAGCATCGCTGTCTTTGGTAACGATGCTGGTGAGAACACCATGGGTCCTGTCAACCAAGCTACTTTCGAATATGGCACTCTCGGTTCCGGTGGTGGTTCAGGAACTGGACGCTTCACATATCTCGTCTCCCCGCTGGATGCTGTCAAGACTCGCGCAAAGAAGGACAACTCGCTTGTGCAGTACTGGCTGAACAACACCAACATCGCCACTTCGACCGTCAGTGGCTTCTGGCCCTCCACTCCTGACGTCTGCCTTGTTTTCCTTAAGACCTGGGCCGAAGAAGGTGCGGACCGTGAGCACCTGTCAATCGACTACGAGGGCAACGACGTGGTCGAGTCCGTCGCTAAGTCCTGCAACAACACTATCGTCGTCACCCACTCCTCTGGCATCAATGTCCTCCCTTTTGCCAGCAACCCCAATGTCACCGCCATCCTTGCCGCACACTACCCAGGCCAGGAGTCCGGCAACTCAATCGTCGACGTTCTCTACGGAGATGTCAACCCTGCTGGACATCTGCCCTACACTATCGCTAAGAATAGCAGCGACTACAACGCCCCACCTACCACCGACGTGTCCACCAAGGGCGCTGACGACTGGCAATCTTGGTTTGACGAGAAGCTTGAAATCGACTACCGCTACTTCGACGCCCAGAACATCTCCGTTCAATACGAATTCGGCTTCGGTCTCTCATACACCACCTTCAACATCTCCGACATCCAAGCTGAGGCCGTGGTCCACTCTGTCTCCTCTATTCCCGAGGAGCGGCCCATCCAGCCCGGCGGAAACCCCGCTCTCTGGGAAACACTCTATGATGTGACCGTCACGGTTACAAACTCCGGCGACGTCAGGGGTGCAACAGTTCCCCAGCTGTACGTCACCTTCCCCGACAGTGCTCCTGAGGGAACACCACTCAAGCAGCTTCGCGGCTTTGAGAAGGTATCCCTCGCACCCGGCGAGTCGCGCGATGTCAGCTTCGAGCTGATGCGCAGGGACTTGAGCTACTGGGATATCGTCTCGCAGAAGTGGCTCATCCCCGAGGGCGAATTCACGCTTCGTGTTGGTTTCAGCAGCAGGGACCTCAAGGAGGTCACCAAGATTACTCCTGTTTCTGCTTGAAAACCATTTGCATATATAGCCCGTCGAGATTATGAGATCTACGATTAGATGCCCAGACTTTTGAAACTTTGTATAGCAGCAAATATTATATCAGTCCTATATTCATCTCTTTCGTTAGTGGAATATAAGGTTGCGAAAGCAGTCGCATCTGCGCGGCCCATTCCCACAGCCACCTGATCAGGCAATGCGTGATAGACATGGGTTAGAGCATATAGAACTATGCGTTTAATGAAGACGAGGCACATATGACCGGGGTGGTACTGGATATGGTAACTATGGGGTGTAAACAGCAATTGGAAACGGTAACACCAGGTTGATATCAAAGTCGTTGGTTGAGTTTAAGACAATAAAAATGGCACATGAAAGAGACGTCCATTGCAAACCCCCCTCCTCCCACAGGATGCACCCGTCAAACCGAGCCTTGTCGTCCGGGCTTATTGTATCGCAGATGTCTGGATATTTTGGAGTACTAAGCTTGTTGGTGCTTAGGGGACGGGTTTTCAAATAGCTTTGGATAGCCAGCAGCAAGGAGAAAAGGGATGAGAATTGTGTATTGCCAGTCGATAATATAAGTGACATCAAATGTTTCTGGACACACAAAGACATTTCTGGGATGTTGCACTTGATCTAATGATAGATAGGCTGGTTAGCTCTCGGTGGTCTACCTTAAGTTGCGGTTCCCGCAACTGATTAGTAGCTAGCATGTCCGTAACAATGACCTCTTAAATAGGCTCTCTATTGAACAGTACACCCTCCATCTATGGGGCGAAAAGTTCGCTCTTTTTATTTCGCATTGTTTCAGGTGAGGGGCCTTCTTTGTCGTGCAGAGAAAGGCCCTACGCCACCCGGACATTAATTACTAGCTTGCCTAACCGACTTCCACACCATCAAACTAAAGGTGCTGTTCATCAACAGCTTGACTCCGTTGTCAATAGCAAGTGTTTATCATCATTTCGGGCACTCTTTCACTGCAATGGGTTGACTATGCGCCAAATATAGTAGATGCTCAACCATCGTGAGTCATGCTTGTCCAATCCAGTGTTCCCTCCGGGAATTAACCACATTTGACTTCCGGGAGAGACTTGCGGTCAGGATCTGGTACAATTTCTAAGAACCGCGCCAGGCACAGTCCACAGTGCACAATTCTCGGACCAATACCAATAATGCCCGCTCAGGGTTGTCGATCATTACCTTACGGGCCGGCAAATCTACTAGGATGATCGCTGGAGAGGCTTCGGTATCCTCTGGGCGTATATTATTTTCTTTATTTTGGGTGACATTAGACTTTACTATCTATTCTGCGCATTTACATACTGTTGGACGCAGAAGGCTCAGAAGAGCGTGACTTGGTTCAGCTTGATATTCATATTTTTCTGTTGTTTCTTTTCCCTTTTTTTTTTTTGTATGCTCCCAATTCTCTTCTCAATTTGGATTTGCTGTTTCTCGTGTCCATATACATTAGCTACACTGAGTCCCGCTGCGTGTCTGCATGTCTTTTCTTATCACTTTTTGATCTATTCATTCTCACTTTCTGGCGGTGAGAACCACCAGATCTCGATTGGCGTAGTGAAGTCGCATCATACATTCGCTGCATGGTTTTGACCGATCTGGATCCGCAGTTTCTCGATTAATAATAATTAAAAGATAATTCTACATACAACTAGCAGACGCACGTTTTAGGCCAGATAAGCCCTGGCCTACTATAGGCACTAGACGTGCGTCATTGAACGAAGTACACATATGTGACGTATTTGAGTAACGTTTCCAATCAGATGAGATAATATACTCACCAGGCCGCATACACTAGGGATCTCGTACAAGATCCCTACTAAACCAAAACTGTGGGTGGGTAACTCACATGTCTCTAGCGATGCATTCACACTATTGCAACAATGCGGAGCACCGAATGATCTTGGAACGCTCTTTTGGGGAATGGATCGAATTCTTCCATGTCGATACGTAATTATGGTCTCCTTCACATTAAGTCAGGGTAGATGTGGCAATTCCCGCTGGCAGCGGCATCCTCGATTTGCATTGCATGGTTGTACAGCATTGCCCGGGACAGCCACCTTACATTGCAGGGTGTGATTAGTCTTTCTAGATGGATACCAAGGAACAATCTACTTGCAGCTTGTGCTACGTGGAATATGTAGAGTGACAGCATCATTGATGCCTAACCGAGGGTTGCCCTTGCGTGTCGACGTCTCTCGATTTCCAAGCATTAGCCACTGCATGGTGTAGCTTGAATTCTATAAAGAACCGCTCCGTACACCCACGGCCAAAGCCATTTCCTAGAACAACTGCAACTGGAAGCAAATTGACAAAGTCGTCGAAATGGCACCTCCTAACAAGAAGAATATCCAGGGAGACATCTGGCAAGTCGATACCCTATTCGGTGTTCCATTTTAGTACTTTTTCTCTAATAATCACAGGCCTCGTCTGTCCAAGAAGCACGAGCTGTTCGTCTTCTTCCGCATCACTCATCCTGAGCGGTTCAAGACGCACTTGGCTGCCCTTGTTCCCCTGCTCACGACTGCTCGCGATGCCGAGAGATTCAGAAAGGACATATACAAGCAGAAGGCTGAGGGTACACTCAAAGGTCTCGTCCATCTCTCTGCCATCAATATTGCCTTCTCCGCCAAGGGTCTAGCCAAAGTGAGTTATGAGACTACTCGGTAATTATATTATCAGTACTAAGCGGTGCCAGCTTGGAGCCGAGGGATTCACCGACGATGTCTTCAACAACGGCATGTGGGAGGACATGACCTACCCTCTTGAGGGAGATGACAAGACAAAGCATAACGGTCTCGATGACCAGCATGACTGGTTCCACCAATTCACCCCACGAAGCGGATACCTCGACGGTGTCTTCACTATCACCGGTGAAAGTGAAAAGACCTTGACTGATACCCTTGAAATGGTTAAGCAGACTTTCGGAATTGGTCTTCCGACCCCCCCAGGCGCGGCTCAGGAACTCGACAAGCCAAGTATCCAGCTTATCTTCCAGCAGCAGGGGCATGTCCTTGATGATGACAGAGAACAGTACGATACTTCAGCCTCATTACATACATTATGCCAGACTAACATCCACGGTTTAGCTTTGGATGGGTAGATGGTATCTCCCAGCCTATTGTCATTGGTCTGGACACCGATGCAAAGGTCGAAGAAGCCAAGAAGGGCCTAAAGCCAATCCAGGCTGGGTAAGCTCTAGAATTTCCACACCAGATGCCGGTGAATCTAAGCGCTGATGACTTTGCTAGTACTATTCTTGTTGGAGGCGAAGGCGATCAAAGCAACCACCCAGCTTGGGCCAACGAGGGAAGCTTCATGGTATTCCGCACATATGAACAGAGAGTGCCCGAGTTCGTCGGGTAAGTTTTACCTCCTCGCTTTTGTTCTGCTACGGTATCCTTAACATGTCCCTTTCAGCTGGTGTGGCCGCAACACCAAGAAAATAAAGGCTGAGGGCATGACAGAACGAGCTGCGGGAGAGCTTCGCAAATTCTCCTCCCGTGTTGTAGGACGATGGCCCAACGGTAAGATTGTCTTTCCATTGTGCATTATTTTACTTGCAGCATTGACTTATTTGATATGTACAGGAGCTCCACTGGAACATCACCCGGACAAAGACCCCGCACCTATGTTGAGTCCTGATCCAATCAAGAACAAGGAGTTGTTGTTCGCAAAGTGGAAAGACGAGGGTAAAGACCCCAACGCGGAACATAAGAAGCTGGAAGCGATGAATCACACAGATGCTTTCACTTACAACCCTGAGGACCAAACTAAATGTCCTTACGCCGCCCACATCCGGAAGTGTGGGCCTCGAGATGACTTCCCCAATTATGAGAAGCATCTTATGTTGCGACGAGGAATTCCCTACGGACCCGTGGCACTGAACAACGAGAAGGGTGGTGGCGTGTCACAGCATGATCGTGGCCTGTTGTTCGTGTCCTACCAGAGCAGCATTACCAACGGATTCCGCTTTATCCAGAAAGGTCCGTATTCTCGTCACACTGACAACCACGTTGATAATTAACAAGTCCGCAGAATGGGCAAACAAAGAGGATAAACCTGTTGATTTCACTGAGAAGATGGGAAATGCCGCGCCCCAGGGTATCGACGCTATCATCGGTCAAATGCCTCCCGATTACCGCTCGGAGACCGACGTTACCCAATACGAACACCCAGCGCCTGTTGTGAACTTGCCCGATGTTGAGAAGCCTGTGCCTACCCCGAACAAGCACTACATTCCCATCGAACGCTGGGTCATCCCTCGCGGTGGTGAGTACTTCTTCGCTCCTTCGATTTCTGGAATGCAAGACACTCTTTGCAAATAAGCGGAGGCCTTCCTTTATCCCACATACATGCACTTGACGATGCTATGCTATGCTGCTGGACTTGCTCGGCCAAACCTTTTTTGCTAGTAGATAGTTTGGGGCTCTCTGTGCCTTTCTAGGTAGCAAACGTGGACTGAATTTCGTTACTCTTCTCTCTCACTAAACTTGATCCTCTTCTGGTGGCAGCACCAATGGACAGTTTGCATGAAGATGCCAGATAGTCCCTTCTTGCTTAGATGTCCATTCATATGGAACTCTATTCACTATATCGTGGCAACGAGAATCAATGTGACGCATGTAGCCCAGTTTTACTCGGTCGAGACCAGACCATTCAGTAGCGTATTATGGCATTCCACTAATAGACTTCACAGTGTTAGTCATTGATCCATCGTAAATAGTACTGTGTGAGCAACTGACACGCGTATGCGGTTATGTCTATGAATCATTTGCACGGCAATCCCAAAGATCTATATTTGAATGAAACCTGGAATATGTAACAACCATCTTCGCGATGACCGTCACCCAACAAGAGAAGGTTCTGTTATGCCGTATAATTTACGAATACCGATTAGGGATTCCGCTTTTGTAGCCCAATGAAGTCGTTGGATTGAATTATTCCGTCAACTACCCTATTCGGTAAACCCGATACAAGGTTCCCAGCGCCTTTTGGCTGACCATGCAGAAGTAGTACCTAACAGGTAAAAGAAACAAAATATAGTTAAATTAAGTAGCCCTTACTTACTCCTAAGGGGAAAGATAAGGGGCTGTTAGTATTTTACCAAGAATGTTGGTCTAGCAATAAATAATACGCAACATAGCATTTCTCAAAGAAAATAATAATACTGCGACAATCCCGGGCGATCCATTTAGTTGTGATTCTCGGTACTGCAGACAGAAGGAGTATTGCCGAATGGTATTTACCGCACCGATACAATACACGTTTTTTTTTTTTTTTTTTATATATAAAAAAAGAAAAGAAAAAGAAGAAAAAGAAAGCAAGGGTATACCACAACGGAGTGGGGCCGTCTTGCTTAGTGTTTCGAAAGACGAAAGTACTCAAGTGTTTGTGTGCGAAGCGGAGCCTTAAAAAAAAGGTTGTACGGCACGGGACGGTCCACAATAGACGGAATGGGGCAAGAGACGTTCTTGCAGCATTGGATCGTCATCATACATTCTGTACAAATCGAGCCGTCGATCCATTTGTCATGCATCTTGGCGGAGCCAATCATTGGAGAGCTATATTGGGACCTACGCAATGCATCAAGGTTTCATTGATCGACCTTATCTGAATTCATCTCCGTTCAGCTACACTGAAAAAATGCCTCATTGCCTTGCGTGGAAAACATGCAGCTAATTGGAGAATGCTGCTGGCTCAGATCCACCATTCTCAATAGCTCTAAGCGTTATACATCGTGCATCCATGGATGGGGATGATAGAGATGACAACACAGCTGAAGCTGGAAGACGGATGCAAAGCGTCATATAAATATCCTCTTCAGTCACATCACTAGCTTGTCTTCTTACGCCTTCTATCCTCAACAGCTTTCTTTGCTTGAACAATCCTTACTTCAGATAATACCTCAAGATGCAGTTCTCATCCTTCCTCTTTGCCACTCTCGCGTTGGCTCTCACCAGCGTCTGGGCCCAGGATGCCACTTCTGATGATAAGCCCACCTGCCTGCGTATCTGCCGTGATGACCCTGTTACCTGCCAGGCCGGCTGGGTGTCTAAACAGATTGGCGCCGAAGATGAGGATGTATGTGTTCACTCCAGTTACCCTTTAGCTTAATACTAATATGTTGAATAGCCCTGCTGGACTTGCTGCAAGGAGTAGATCAGCAATATGACCAATGAACGATGAAAGATTGCCACAATTGAAGGAATATGCTTGAAGCTTGAACTGTTACCTGGAAGTGCACCATGAATCCATGGTCCCATGACGCCGGCTTTTGTAAAATAGTTATTCCGCCTTCACAATCTGGTGAAAATGATAGTGTCATATTGCTCGAAATAAGGCTCCGGCCGCCTTGCAAACGTTTTAGTGTAACCAGGAAGCAGGCATCCCGTTAAACACGATCCCTGGCTAACCGCCCCACCCCACTACATTGCAATCCTTTTAAATTTGGACCACTCATAACTTCAAAGTAAGGTGGCGAATTGGAAATATTGAGTCCGCTGAACTACGATCCCTCGAGAAGACGCTATCGCGTTACGACCTCGGCACTAAGGTACACTGAGGTTCAAGTAAAAGCAACCGTGAAGATCAAAAAAGCGTGTTCTTGAATTCTTGACGTAAGGAGAGGTAGGTAATGTTCAGATCTACGTTCCCAGCTCAGCTAGCAACCGATATTGTACTCCTCGACAAAGCCTAGCACGGCCTCTACAGTCCTGCCCTGCGACATGCTGTCTAGTTTACCTCTCTCACATTCTCTTGAGTCTCCCAGAAGACTCGACAAGCTGTTGAACCTGATTTGTTCGCATTCAAGGACAAGATTCTCGGGTGATCTCTAGGCGTGAGGGTCGGACGTACTGAAGAGCTACTTGGAGGACCAGGCTTTAGCTGCTCAATGGAGGGAACGTGGTTGGAGAGGACACCGAGCGTCTCTCACCTTCTTCCTTAATTTCTTCAGTAATTCGCTCAATTCAAGGCTCACACCTAATTCTGCTAGATATAGCACGTTTTCAAGGGTATATATAGCCTGTATTAAAATTTATAGTAATTTGTCCATTATATTGTGAGGTAAGGTTATGCTTCATCCCATTATACTATAGTTTTATAGGGCAATATAGGAAGTGGAATTTTGTAAATCAGCGATAGTATTGATAGTAGCAGCACTATCAATAATAAAGCTTTTTTTGTATCTTTCTAGCTAGTTCTTCTCCTCCCTTTTTGAGGGTTTTTAGACCATCTAGCATTTCATTACCATTTAGATTATATATATTAAGAAGACGTACCTCAGTATCTCCTTCTTCCTGAATAGTGAGCTTAGGAAGGTCATTGGTTATCATAATTTCCTCTTCAGTATTATCAGTGATTTGTGCAATTAGGGCAAGTGAGATCCAGCTTCTTGGGCATTCATGCATATGAGCTCCACGTACAAAATTCACGATGGCCATGACTATTCAACAATTTGAAAATCTCTAGGTTGACGTGCAGAAATGACATATTCGATATGAACAGAGGTAGTTGTTGCACGTACCTCGCTAAGGGGCGTGAGAACCTCATACTCGAGACGATGCGTAGCTTTTCAAATTGCCTGCAATAATTACAAAAACCGCAATGAGCGTCAAGCGAAGCTTTGTTTCCGTTTGCAGCTCATTATCTAATAAACGATCGGGTTACTCGCATTTAGTCTCTTCAAGATCTAAAATGAACTCGTCAGTTGTGCGTCAAAAGCCAATAGAATACTAGGGAAGCCGTACCCAATCATTAAGCTCAGCATCATTATCTCTGAGATTCTCGAATTGGGCATCCAAATGTTCTAGATTTGGATATTAGCCTTCTCCATATTATTTCCCCTTTGGCACCGCAGTTATAACTCACCAGCAGTGACATTGATATTATTGGGGACAAGATCATTCATCTGCCATTTTTCCAAGAATTGAGTAGCCTCAGCCGCGTTGCCCACCTGGCTAAGGTCATACCGGACGGCTGTTCTGGATTAGCGATGTCGTCGATAGAACCACGACAAAAGCGTACCTTCTTCTCCGTAGCCGTTGTCCCTCACAAAGTTTAGCGATGCCCTAACTTCATTTTCATACGTCTCAGTAGGCTCCTGGTTCGGACATCCGTCGGTGACTGTCAGGATAAGAAGGGGTCGCGACAACACATGGCCGTTGTTAACTGGCCCGTAGAGGAAGTCATTCAAGACTTTATCTTTTAGGTTCGTACCCAGCTTGGTCGACCCATCCGGGGTGAATTTCATCTTCGAGGAAAGCTCGCTAGGTTTAAGGTTATCAAATTTGTCTTTCTTGTTGATGAAGCGAAGATGAACAAGCGTGTCCTCTTCGGGTGCAGCCTGCGTGATGAGGCTTGCGATCCGTTCAACCATAAATGCCTGACGGTTCATGCGGTCATCATCCTTCATCGAGCCACTGTCATCTAGATAAAACGAATGTAAGCCTGGAGTCCTTATGGGAGTTGATGACTTTAACTTACCGCAGTACAGGACAGGCTGGTACAATGCCTGACGGGACATGATAGTCACATTCTCGGGTGTTGCACCCGGGAAAGTTGGATCGTTCAGAATCTTGACTGCGTTCTCTGCTACCTTGGCAACATATTGATTGCCATCTGGGTAGAAGTCCTCAAGGCCCTTTTTGTTGATGAAATTATGAAGGTTTGACTTGAAATCCTCCGCCGTGCGGGGGTTCGTAATTTGCTATTCCAGGGTAAGCCAATTTAGGAATGAAGGATTGTCAATGACAAAATACATACCCCTGGTAATGGTTCTGATAATGCGGAGAGGCGATTTATGGCATTCTTGCCAACATCCCTGAAGTTTTTGAAGAATGCCAGGGCAAATAGACCGGAGCTAACGAGAAGATTTTCCAACTCGGGCTTCCATTCTGGCTTCTCATCCTTGGGGCGAATGGCCTTGTGGACAGCGGTGTTGGTGGAACTGTCAGCAAGTGTCGCAGGTGTCTCGCCAAGCTCGTTTGACCTGTCCATGGCCGCTCCAGCTTGAATAAGGGCGCGGATGGCCTCGGGGCTAGTACCTTGTCGGATTGCCGACATCAACGGAGTGTCACCTTTCAGCTGTGAGACCGGCTCATCTGGCGTGGCGCTGTGCTTGAGCAGAAGCTCGACAATGCGGCCGCTGTTTGGTGCTTGAGTGGCCGCATAGAGGGGTGTCTTGCCATCCGGAGATACTCGGTTGGCATCCGCACCGTTCTGCAGAAGCAGCTTTACTGCTCCCACATGGCCATTTCGAATTGCCAGGTCCAGGGCTGTATCACCATAGCTATCCTCATCATTGACTTCCACCTGGATGAGCAGTTGGCCAACGTTCTTCAGATTGAGAGTTCCGCTCTTCGCATGAGTGTGAAGGCTTTCCGCCATTGTGAAGATCTCTGTCACGATTCACTTGAGTTACGCTGAGTCAAGGTCTAATTAAATTGATTTGAGAAGCATGAAGGCCATGGTTCACCGGTTCCATGGAAGTCGTACTTATATCCTCAGGTGCAGGCGTAGACACTCCCCATCTGCGGCTTTCCGATGGCCTCATCGTGCCCGTTGACACGTAATGCCTGCCAGTTCACCCCACTCTTATACATGCAGGCGATGTATCACCCAGCATTTGCACCCTCCAAGAGCCAATGTCGATCTACCGCCACATGATGTGCCAGTACTCGGCTGTGGACTTTATGATAGTGACGTCAACCCACGGAGCGACCTGGTCTATCCATCGTGGGTCACGAACAGGTGAATTCAATATGCATAATCGCCCCAGCTTATGGGCTCAGAAGTGTTGCACGGCAGCTGTGCTATTGCGAAAAACGCAAGGCGACCGCTAGTTTCTGCAAGGCGGCTCGCTTTCAGCTGAGCCATCTGGTCTATTGTTTATTGACAACTGATTGACTCACTCTGCAGTCGATTGCATCTCTCCATGGTATGTTGTTAGTGTAACCCTAATACCTTTTTCGTCTAGTTCAAATTGAGGGTCTAGCGCTTCAGGGAATCATGGATACAGCAACACATAGTGCTTTTGAGGCCCCCACTACCTCGGTGATGAACGGTTTGATTTTGAAGGATTTCAGTGCTAGGGTAATCATTGCTGGTTTAAAGAACCTTCCTGGCTTCCGAGTGCCGCAGATGAGCCCCCCAGTTTTGATAGGTTTCAAAGCCACTTTGGTTTCACTTAACTCTTTTTGCCTAGCTTACGCTCGGTGTAGGGAGGTCAATATTCACGAAATACACCTATTTTGACCTAGGGTCATCAGTATCCGCATCACTTCTAGTAATCCGTACCGATACTTTTTTCATATTTACTGACTATAATTCCATGCACTCGACCCAGAAGTTGGCCTTGGAATACCGGTGAAGGACGGAAGCTATGAGCGTCGCAACTGCCAATGGTAATACCGAAATGTCAACATGCTATTGGCTAACGAACTGGATGCAAACGCTGGTTGCACTTATGCCGGGTCTGCTCTTGGGCAGGCTGCTGCGCGCGGACGTTTTAATACCAACGTTCTTCTACTGTCGTATGTGTCCTATGGCGCTCGGATTGGCTCTGTGGATGAATGATTCAAGCTGCATCCATGGCCAATGTGCAGGTTTGTGCAGCTCCTATTGGTCAATGGGGTGAAGCAGAAAAGCTTCATAAGAGACGAATAATTTATCACACACATCCTGCTATTCTGATATAAAATGACAGTGCAAATAGGAGCTGTACCAGGTAGCATTGGTGACGTTAGTGATACCTTGGCTAGGCGTTTCTTTCGAGAGCGGAGGCCCGGAATTGGAGAGCCAGCTCGGCGCATACAGGATCACATCGAACACTGGCGCTATAACCACTGGTGCAACCAAATGACCTCTGATGTCAAGCTCTGTTCTGGGTTTTTTTCCAACGCAGTAGAGACTTGCATCCGGCCAGTAAGCTTATCAGGACCCTTGTGTTACAGACACAGGTCTGGTTCGGTTTGGACATGTCGGGTTCTCGCAATCGCAGCAAACCGTACGGCGACAACATGGGATGCAATCGAAAGATGACCGAGGTCTTTCAACTTGCTGCGCGTTCAAAACTACGACTCTCGCTCTTGAGCCAGTAGCAGGAGTGACAGATGCTGAGAGCCGGAGGATCGGTGGGTAATATCGTAGGGCCACAGGTGGCGATGCTTTGCCTGATCTTACTGCTGTGGGTAGCTATTGCAAAGGAACCACACTATCATCAGTCTACTAGATTGCGCTTCAGTTGCAAAAATCCAAAGCAGCCTTTGCATTCAAATGGCAGTATAGGAAAACCTAAAAAAGCTAACACAAGAACAAAAGCCTATATATTATGGCTGAAAGCAGTCACTCAAGGGAAAGATTGAGTCTGGCAGTCTTGCAGGTGTTTTTCTCTGACACCAGAGAGTCGACCGTGATCATTACTCCTCCCTCTGCATCTTTGGTACTCTCTTCTCCGAAACTATCTTGTGATTGTATAGATGGCCATAAGGTTGCCCAACTTACAATCTAGAGGAGCTGCCCGGAACTGAATGGCGACGACTTGGTGGGGACCAAGCCTAGTCCGGTAGATCGCATGTAACAGGCCCTGTCACTGCCGTCTGCTTTCCACATGAATCGCACGCACTTCTTAGCACCCTTGTAGTTCGCGCATTTCTCGGCGCAGTCTTTGAAAGAGTTCGCCCTTCCAGTTCCCAAGTCCGCCGGACCGGGGTCATCGACTATCCAGGAGTCAGCGTGTACGTACTATGAAACGTGATGTTGGAGACGAACGCTTAGCGTAGTGAATTTTGAATTTCTCATTTCCAGCAGCTATAATGCATTGATCGTCGCGAGGCTCTGTGATGCAGTGATCTGTATGAGTTGAAGAGCGAGAGAGTGGTATCGTGGAAGCCATATGGTTTTATTACTTACCGGCGTCGAAAAGGGTTGTGCGACATTTTCCATTAGGGCCTTCTCCATTGCAATTGATATTAAGAGCGTTATACGACTGCTGAAGCGAGTCTAGCTTGCCGTTCAGCGATGTGATCTCCGAATTGAGTGCGGTGATCTCATCATCTTTCTTGGTGAGTTCCATCTTCAGCTTGTTCTTGTCGTTCTCGCACTGCTGTTTCTGAATGCTGAGGTCGCCCTTCTCTTCTTCACACTTCTGTTGCTCCACACGGCATTGTCTCTTCTTCTCTTCAACTTCACCGGAGTGTCGACGGCAGTCCTCTTCGGCTTTTTGGGACGTCAGATTGTCAGCTTCGCATTGCGCCAATTTTGCAGGGTCTACCTGGCTTTTTTGGCACATTTCGAGCTTATGCTCGGCTTGCTGTAGGTCGTCTTTACAGGTGTCATTTTTATTGTTGCACTCCTTCTTATCCTGAATGCATTGCTCCTTCTCCTCAACACACGTTCCGCACTCTGGTTCAGGGCTTGGGGGGTCGATGTTGTCATCCTCGATTTTAACGAGTGACAGGAATTTGGGCGCCTGTTGCTGATCCTTGTTGCTGCCCAAGGCGAAGAAGCAGTTGCCAGATTTGTGATCGCCCAGTGTTCGGAACGAAATTGCCTCGCAGCCCTCCGACGCGCAGAGCGAAGCACACTGGAGAGCATTGGCCGCCGGTCTACTCTGCCTGTTGAGGGAACTCAGGATAGACTTGCAGGTCCATTTCCAACGGGTATTGTCAATCAAGACCTCGTCTTCTTGTTTTTCTGGTACAGAGCAGCAGGCGTTGCGGTCATCCGACTCCAAACAGGATGGGAATACTTCCGTGAAGGTAATCCACTCTCCATCGGACTTCTGGTCCAGGTTGTCTCCCAGGACAAAGAAACAGTTATTGCCACGAGGTGCCTTGCCGTGTGCTTTGAAAGATGATGCTTCACAAGACACGTCGTCTGCACAGAGTGATACACACTCGTGGGCATTGCTGACCTTTTGGGCTTTCTTGGGATTGAGGGAGACCAAGGCCGAACCGCAAGTGACCTTGAAGGTGCGATTGTCAATTGCCACCTCGCTAGTGGGCGCTCCACTGGTACAGCAGTCATTGGGAGTAGCGGAGGACAGGCATACTGAGCTGTCGCCGAGCGGGATTTGGTTGGCGACGGCCGAAGCCGCACCTAGCAACAGGAGGGATGATTTGACAATCATGGTCAACCAAGAAAGGAATTGAACTCTGGTTGTCGCAGGAAGGTATGAGTAACCGCAGGTGCTCAAGCCCCAGTAAATACTCTTGCGACGTGGCCATCGGGCCCTCTACAACCCTCTTTCTCCCTCGCGTTAGGGTTCCACTAGGATGCTAAGACCTGATGTAAAGTATGCGGTCATTAAGGAGAGAAGAGATGTCAGAATCATAGATAGAGTGACAAGTTACATGGGTGGACCTAGAATTGGGTAGCTACGACTCCGGAATGGTCAGATGGTCCAGTTCAGCTCAGCCTTCTGCCGGATGTGGAGCTGTGGCCTAGAGCCTAAAAGGAGAGGTTCAGTCATCCACTGCCGAATCAACGAATGGAACCGGCCCAAAAGGTCGCAAAATGACGTTGCTAGTGACCCGTGCCGGTTACACAGCATGGAGAATGGGGTTGCTATCTGCAAGGAGGCTGCATAAACTGTGCTCAATTATCCATAGCTCTGCATTCTGCATATACCACTACATCCTTGGCAATCACTCCCCCAACGTAAAAAAACAATGCTGCAGATATCCCTCTCCCAATCCGCGGACCATGACCTACCTCAGCCAATTTCCGCCTCAGCTGAACTGGGAGTTCAGCCGTAAATGTAACTCATTTCCGTTTGGGGAGATCGAATATCCACATTCCTGTTCACTCATGATGATCTGTACTTTCGGGAGACCAAGGCGTGTCCGTTGGGAATGGGTCTCAGATCAGTGAGGCCCATTAATAATGGGTAGTTCGTGATTGGTGTAAGGGTGTAGGTCGGCAAAGGAAGATGATAGCGATATATGTCCTCGATATCGTATATCAAGATCAACCGTGTCAACCCTCCGAGGCTGATATAACTTCTGCTCCATACCTTGGTAGCTCCTGAGTAGGATACCTCCATTAAGGTCGTTCATTTCTACCGAAGCTGTCCATTTAAATTGAACAGATCGATATCTAACAAAAAAATAAGTCCTAGAGTAGGCTCATTGACATCAAAAATAGCAAGTTGTATGATTGGAGTACGTAAGTGAGACGACGACGACAAAGTGATAAGTGGAGTAGCAGCGCGTGTGTGGTTAAACACAGTATAAAAGATAGTCAATGGAAGTGGTGAATGTCTTTAGACCGAAGATATTAGACAACATGTTGGATACATGGGAAATCTTAGCTTTCCCTTTTTCGTTATAGGTAAAACTGACCAACGTCTGAGCGCCTTGATTCGCTCCGAGAGCGTAAGCTGAGTGGGTGAGTAAGTTTGCCTACTAAGAACATTAATTCAATGGAGCACGCGAGTCCTATCACTTGTACTATTTTAGACTCTACCGTCAAGAAAAGAATGGCAGTATCAATATGATCATCATTTATCGTAGTAACTTGGCTGCAATTAATTACGCCATAATAAAGCCTGCTAATTGACCGCCTAATCAGTTCTACTCTTTGGATCCTATATTGTTCTTAAGCTAACCTCATTCTAGGGTATACGGGTTATATACCACCGAGATTGTTAATCTTGTGTGTTTGTCCAGACGCTTTAACATGCAATATATCCAAACAACAAGTTAATCTCGGGTTGGTAATAGAAACTCAATCGTGCTTTTGGGAAAGAAACCACAATCGCTTCATTGGATGCTGCATCGCTATCTGAAAGGTAATGTTTGAGATAAGATTAGTGGTCAATAGCGTTATTGGAGCAGAGATATCAAGGAAGGAAGAAAGAAAGAAACAGTAGCAATAACGGGGCAAACAGAAAAGAAACAAGAATGATATAAGCACCCTGAGAAGAACAAAACAAGAACAAAACAAATAATAATGTCACTTCTTATCAGTCATGAGATGTTGAGGATTTGTCTTTTTGCCCTTATTTTTTCGTAAATATGGCAAGACTCGGAAGAGATAGTAGAGGAAGATGGCGCCGAGGATATTGAAGGCAAAGTATGCCCAAAGAATCCCATAATCTCGCCACCGGAGCTCCCAGGAAATGTCGCGGTTGGCAAGATATTGATCGGCCGATCGGAGGGGACAGTACTGACACTGCCCAGTAGAATTCCAATTGTAGAGCTTCCCGGGTGCTATTTCCAGAAACCGTTCAAGATACTGGCCGCACGTTTGCCCCGCTGGGGCATCAAAGCTGACCATCTCTTGGTCGGAGCAATGAATTGGACGACCATGTAGTGCAGTCGCACTAATGCCACCCACATAATAGGTCAAAGGAGAGACTTTGTGCATATAGTTCCAGAAAGGGGGTAAAGCGCTTGGTGCTTGCATCACACCGTTCGACAATAACGACAGGACAAACATGAAGAGAGCTAGCATACTGCCCAGAACCGGACTGGGTACCGCAGAGGCTATTAAATGGGCGAAACTGGAGGCAAAGAGGAAGAATTGCAACACAAAAAGAAACACCAGGCCCTGGCGCTGTGGGTCTTGCTTCCAACCATAAACAGAGAAGTAGAAAGAGGCCCAGGTGCAGATTCCAAGCAAGGCCTGCCAGGGAAGCTCAACTATGACTTGTGAAAGAATAAATACCTTCCAAGAATACGTCCTAGAGGGTCGCTCGCGTAACTCATACAGCGCCCGCCTGCTGATAAACTTTGGCATAATTCTATTCACGGTGAGTTCCTTGTTCTTCTGTAAAAGGGGGAGCGGTGGAGACTAACTGGTTTACCATAGTGGAGAAGATGGTGCATAGAAGGAATAAGCTAAACAAAGTATTTTGAAAGCCCTGGTTAGAGTTATCGGACATCCAGAACGAGAAGCCGACGAAGAGACCGGATATAACACCCAAAGCAAGCTTAGCCATGATATATTCCGGCTGGCGATAGTATTGCTGAAAGTCACGCCTCATGACGAGGTATAGCTGAGCGCTAATTGGCATCGCGAATTCAAGCTTGCTATATGTGTCGATGTTTGGGGCCTGAAAGGGACTCGAAGATATATGATGCAGCTGATCAAGAACCTCCTGATTTTGAGGGCTCCGGTTCCAAATATCCACCCAATCGATGGACTGGGAACTCCCTTGCGAGCCTTCACTGACCACTTGAAGCATGTATTCGGCCGGCTGTGAAGACATGCATCAGCCAAAAGCCGTAGAATTTTAGTGGCATGGTACATGGTGATTCATAACTTACATTCTCAGTGGGTTCACACGGACGTGCGCCGTTTGTTTGCAAATAATCCAGAAGAGTCCGAGAATGACTCCCAATATCTCCAAAATACACGGTCTTACCACCTTTCGCCAGTAAGAGGAGGCGATCGAATTGTTCAAATATAACGGCGCTCGGCTGATGAATAGTCGCAAGCACGGCTTGTCCATGATCCGCCAGCTTCCTCAAAAACGCACAAATTGCCCAGGAGCTTTGCGAGTCCAATCCACTAGTAGGCTCATCTAAGAAGATCAAGACTTCGGGCTTTGCAGCCAGCTCGACACCGATAGTAAGAAGCTTTCTCTGCTCGATATTCAACCCGCCGTCAGGATTTCCAATGATGGCTTCGGCGAAATCCTCCATTCCCAACATCTGAATCACTTCCTCAACAAATGCATACTTCTCTTCCATGGAGACGGACGGGGGTTGCCGCAATGCTGCACTAAAACGAAGAGCCTCCCGGATTGTAGAGGTTTCACAGTGGAGATCATTCTGCTCGACGTATCCGGTCTTACGGCAGATGCTGGTATTGAGGCCACTGCCATTGACCAGCATCTCCCCGGCCACAACGCCGCAAGTCATTCGCTGAGATAAGACGTTTAAAAGTGTGGTTTTTCCTGCGCCGGACATTCCCTAAAAATATTAGCATGGAGGACCACAGTTGTATTGAAGAGTTACGTGGATGTTACACACCATGAGGGCAGTGAAGGACCATGGCTTAACCCAACCGCTAACATCCTCAAGCAATCTTTTTGTTCCTCCCTTGATCGGAACATCATAGCATAATCCCTGCCAAGTGAATATGTTCTCTTGCTTTGCCAACAAAAGACGGGACTGCGTGTCAGATTTCAGAAGCTCTTTCGACCACCCGAGCCCCTGCCTGGCCTCTACATCGTCTCGGCTCAAGTTTGCGGGAATATGACCAGGAAGAAATGCCAGCATTTTCGGGGCGGATGCCGTACCTGGAACCAGCTCTGTAAGAATGAGGTAAAGGATGTGAAATAAGACAAAGAACGCAATTAAGACCCCGAAATTCCTCCATAGATGACTGTAGAAGTATTCATAACGCTTCTCAAGATACCTGTCTCCCGACACGTAGTGCTCTCCCGCGACAGCGCCCACTTCCGAACAAGTAAAAGACAAGCCCAAGAGAGATGGGTAGTCTGGTATATATTCGACGCATTTGAATCGTAAGCCATGGAATTCGTTGGCGATGATTCCTTCGAACGCGTAGAAAATCGGATTAAGCCATCGGATCCAACCTAGCCACGGGCGCATATCGGGTTGTGGTATAGTAAAACCAGTATACACTGCAATACAGATAATTATGATTCCACCGAGAGCCATTGCTTGACTGAGTGTTCTTGTGACTGTGGCCAAGCACCGAAAGAGCCCGGACATGGTCACAACTGAAATGAGTTGTAGGAGGATATAAATAAAGAAATGTCCAGGCTCCCTCCGCAGATGTGCCATGAAATATATGATCACACTGGCGATTAAACAGCGGAGAACCTTGATGGGGAGATCCATGATGACTCCAGCAAGGGCCTCGGCGAAGGGGTGAACAAATGTGTAGCGAGCGTGTTTTTCCACAATTGGTCTTTGACTGTACAGGACATTTATCTCCAGCAAAGCGATCAAGTTGTTTGTTAGGACTGCCAGAAAGATGACCGATGCCCTCTGGGCCAGTCCCGCAGAACTGGCAGGGATGTCATAGAAGAGGGAGCCGATTAGGACGGCTAGCACAATTTGTACCACTGCAGTCGCAATGATACCCGCACGGTCATTCAAGCTTCGTCGATACGCTCTGACGAGGCATAATCGTACTTGCATAGCCACAGAAAGAAGGAAAGTGCTGGATGGTCGAACATGGTTGGCCTGCTCGGTACGTTTTGCGTGGTTCAATTTTGTCTCTTCTGTTCCATCGAGAGGGAAACTCTGTGCGTAATTTCTCATCATCTCCCGAAGCTCGACATACTCTGGGCTCTGTTTCCAGTATGCTTCGAAGTCCTCCGAAGTCCGTGGGACCTTCTCTGCCATACCAGGTTTGGCCTCACGCTCACCTGGGTTGGTGATGGCAGTGAGGAAATCCGCGCTGGCCTGTCGGGGATGACGTTTCCATCCCATCTTTTCAAAGTATGCCACGGCGTGCCGACAGGGACCAAAGTATACTTGCCGTCCTTCATAGAGAACAGTGACATTGTCAAAGGTATTGTAGATTGGCTCTGAAGCCTGGTACACTGCGGCGGCATGACATGTTTTCGTGAGATTGGCAGATAGGCGAAGAGTCTGGACAAAGGCAAGAGCACTATTCGCATCAAGACCTCGTGTGCTATTATCCCAGGCACCAATAGCAGCTCTCGCTAATGTCATTTCGGCTATGCTGCAAGTCCACATTTCGCTGTCAGTTTATTGTCCCTCTTTCGTAAGCACGAGGCAGTAAGATAGCCTCGAAAACCACTCACCTCACTCGCTTCCTTTCTCCTCCACTGACCCCGCGAACGTATTCGTTGCCCACTTGTGTGTTATGAGCATGGGAAAGCTCAAACAAGGCCATGACAACCTGCACCACAATCTTGGCATACTCCTCGCGACTCAAGTTACCCAGCCGAATGTGAGGTGCGCGTGCATACGCAGCAAACTCGAGGGTTTCACCAACCGTCAAATGCGGGAAATGATGATCTTCTTCTTGGTTGTATACAACCTCGCCGCGATATTCGTTCATCATCCTCGCAAACGAAACCCCTCTATATTGGATCTTGCTGGCTGGATCTAGATGCAAGCCGTCAAGATAGCCACATATTGCCTTCAGAAAGGTTGAACATCCACTTCCCGGGCGACCCAGGACCAAAAGCAGCTCGCCGCTGCGCACAAGCCCATCGAATTTGTGCAGGATCTTGGTTCGATGTTGATGACTTTCCTTATGGAAAAGGAGGTTCACAACAGATGCGACAGGACGTATCAAGGCCGACAGAACTGTCGGCTGAATCTGGAGAGGCGAGCCGGACGCCTGAATTGAGATATCCTCGAACAGAACTCCACGCTGCCGAGCTTCACCGGCCATAGAATCGAGGATGCGAATATTTCGTTTGGCCCACTCGTGCCGATCGAACTGGCAAGAATCGGGTGGTATCGCGTCTGTGTGCTTGTTCCAGACTTGTGTGATAGGGTGTTGCTCGTCCTGACTCGATTGAGAGCGATGGGGGCCCTCTTGGTCATTGCTCATCGTTGAACAGAGGCTCCGTCTCTCGCCAGTCTGCTTGGTGCCATTGGCATTGGCCATAATGGCAAGCGAGGCCTTTCGTGCTGCCTTTCCGGAAAAGAAAGTCAAATAGTCGGATGATGAAGCTACTACTAGGATGTTTAAATTATTGCATTATCTGGCAATTTTCGGAATTTCCCTGTATTTTTAATTCGCACTATGGGGAATTTCCCCCTACCATTTACCCCTACCAGCATTTCTAAGATCATCCTTCCATAACTGGAGATCAATGGAATGTTTAAGTGGAACCTCCTAATGAAAATTGAAGCTAGTGAATGTACCAAAAGCGATACATGTGCCACGCAAGGGTGTCTGAAGTAAAATTGACCGTCCCGTACCGAGCCATGCGCATTACAGTACTTGAAACGGATTTTTGGTCCTCTAAGCCCTATCTTCAACTCTATTCACTTACCTTCAATTATATTAAATTTGGGTTCAACTGAAGGTTTTTCATAATACTTTCAATCATATTTTCCAAGGAATAAGTCACGGTGTGCCTTGCGTTGGACTTGGGGCATCTGTAAATGGATATTCTGATCGGCCCCATCTCTAACTAGTTCAAATGACCTTGCCTCGGTTGCAGTTTTAGCCTCGCTGGCGTGGAAAGGCTTTCTATTGGGCCTGACCTATTCCGAACTAAAATCAACACGATCCGAGTACCTGGCTATATATATCAAGATGGCCTTTCACAGGGCGATATTTGGAGAAACAAATTTTACAATAACCTGCGGCATTTGAACGTAAAAACGACAATTCGGCAGCTTGCAAGATAATTGTTCGATTAAAGTAGACGTAAAGAAGTCCAGATAGGAAGTGGAATTTTCAGGTAATCTGCCAGAATCTGGAACCTAGACAACGGAATTCGGCCGCGATGTAACATTTAGTTCCAACGCACACAATACTCAAATCCGAACCCAAGAACCCAAAAGATACTGGTAAGGAGGCAGTATGTCTTTGCTCTCGTCTCCACTCCAGACGATTTCCCGAGCTGTGTCGCCTTGAGGAGGTTCCCGAACCCGAGGAAATGGCCGCCAACCGATATAATAAAAAAAGGGAGACCAAGGCCAGTGAACAACCCAGCAGATGCAAGAAGCGCAACTGACATGTAGAAGAGCACATACGCCAGAATATGAATGGAATCCCGGAACCGAACAGCCATATTTTTCACGCCGACTTTCAAGTCTTCCTCAGTATCCTGGCACGAGTAAATCACATCGACCATGATGATGACTGTCGCAACGAACAGGAACATACATACTGTGGGCATAACATGGTCAAGCGGATCCACTCCCAGGCTATGCATGGTCATCGGGATCGCCCACCCGATATTTCCCAGAGTTACTTGTGGGTAGTCCGTGAAACGCTTGCCGAAAGGATAAAGGAGGGCGAAGAAAATGATGATGAGGGCCTCAATGGTGCATTGCCACGGAAGGAAGAGTAGAACGGAGCTACCACATGCGAAGAGGGCAACGGTAAAAAGAGCAGCATCCCGTGTTGAAACGGCGCCTCGTGGCAGCGGCCTGGATTTTGTTCGAGAGATTTGGCGATCAAGATCTAAGTCGATGAGATCATTCCACACGCATCCACCGCAACGTAGAAAGAATGACCAAAGAGAGAGCAGCACAATACGGTGCAGGATAGTGGTCACTGGAATATCCGTGGCAATTGAAGCACTGAACGCAACGCCCACAAAATAAGGAGAAGTATTGAGATAGAATCCCAATAGGCGATGGATTCGTGTTAATTCAGCATATGGTACTAAGGAAGAAGGAAGCGATCTGAGCACTTTGTTCTGTGGCTCAGCCGCAGCTTTTTCGTTCACTGTAACCATGTTGAAATAGAAAAGATCTAGTTCAATTTGTGCTGAATGATGTGGTGCTGGGTTTTGTATGGTGTTAAACCAGAAGTAACGCCAGGAAATTCCAGGTCGTGTCTTACGAAGAGAGCAAGGAGAAAACGAGTTGAGCTTGTGAAGAAGCTGGCGGACAGAAGACCCTGAGAATACAAAGGAAAGGGAAAAATGATATAGGCAGATCTCTGCACTGCCTATCACACCGCTGATTAGAGCCCCGAAAACGTAAGTCTGAGAAGCAAAGAAGACAAATATTTTGCACTCCTTGCTTTACTGATCTCATTCATCCAGAGTTTAGCATTGCTAGACAGAGGTAGCATTAGGATTAGCCTATAGCACTGTAACATAACACCAGCGGAATGTCATAACCCGCAAGTACATCCATCATATTTCATTTGAGAATACCTTGCGTAGAACACTACTGTACATGGATGTGGGTTCACGCCTTGCGTTTTCTCTCGTAGGGTACCCACATGTACCTTGGTATTGCTTCCTGATGCGTTGTGATATATGTACAAGTTCAGTTTCAGTTCAGTCAACTGTGTGCCATAAAAATCTTTACCGTATAAAAATCGTGGGAATGTCTAAAGTACAATGATCCTTATCCATAGTGGCTCCACGCTTAGTGTAAAGACTTTAGTAGATGAATAGTGGATTTTAGGTATTTATATGGTTATTTTCAAATGTCAATATAAGGAATTACGGAAAAATCACGCTTGAAAAGGTCGAATCCAAAAGAATGCCCAGCAGAGGGTTAGAGAAAAAATCCAAAGAAGCCTCCACTGTAGTCGGATGATTGTCTGCCCCTTAGAAGATTTCTGAATCCAACCTGGCCCGGATCGTTCGGGAAATGGAAGAAAATCCACCGTATCCCCTCGGGCCAGAACCTGAGCGGTTCCCCTTTGTACAAGACCGCCTATGAAAGGAAAGATGTAACGACCAGCCAATGCCTTGGCCCAGCCATCCCGCGTATGAAAACGAGCTCCGAACCTAGATCGCTGGTATGTGCTCTTTGTACGGTCGTATCGCAGACTTCGATATTCCCGGAGCATTGATTCAATGTGAACCTCGGATAGGCTGGGAATACCATCCACATGGACCAGTCGATGAATCAGTGAGGCTAGAACAGCAGCATCCTCAATAGCTGTGTTTGCTCCCTGTCCAATGTTTGGCGTCATCTAAAGGTCAAAATGTTCAGTGCCCGCGATCCTAATCAATGATAGTGTACATGGGTATTACCTTGTGCACGCTGTCTCCAAGGAGTACTACGCGATTGAAATGCCAGGTTTCAAATAGTCCCTCCTCAAGCGCAGTCATTGACGCAACCAATCGATTTTCCCAAAGATCCCCAACAGAGATATCCCGCAGGATGGAAACACATGCCAACTTGCCGCAAAGGTGGGCTGCATCCTCGGTCGAATAACGAGGAACATCGGGATAGACATAGGTGTGATCAAGCTTCTGGATAATGAACCAGAACACGCGCCCATCTTTGCCATGGAATGTAATCACCGAGAACTTATCCCCATACCGGTTTATATGCTCTCCAGTTTCAAGGCCGGGTATCGGCGAAGAAATCCCGAACACGCACGTATATTCAACCGTAAGACCTGAATGAACAAAACCATCAGAGTGTCAGCCTCAGAAATTGTAAAAGGGTATTCAATAATGGTACTCAGAAATGGTGCTGGTCACCTTTCTTTTCGCTGTGCGAGATCCACCCAGGATCCATAGTGTCTGCCAGCCGCCACATCTCCGACCGGATATGACTATGGACGCCATCTGCACCCACAATGAGATCCCCCTCAAATACATCCCCATCATCTGTCAATACACTGGCACTGTCTGCCCCGAGACGTACTTCTGTTACACGCTTATTGGTCATGATATTCGATCTGGTAGGGTAACTTTGGAACAATACTTCCAGAACCTTTTGGCGATCAAGGGAAATTATGGGGTAACCGAATCTGTGATCCACGAGGTCAGAATAGTCATCCTCACTTGTGTGAATATGTGCGCAATACAACCTTTCATGGATTGTCTTGGGCAGCAAACTGCTGAATGAAAATCCATCGGGGAAGGAAATGTGCATCCGGCTTAGCGGTGCCGTGAGTCTTTCAAGGCTAGCATAAATTCCAAGTTGTTGTAAGATTCGGGCTCCATTTGGCCAAATTCCAATGAAGGCACCTTCCTGGGGAGCTATCTCAGCTCTTTTTTCAAGGATGATGTGGTCGACGTTCGCTCTGGCCAGACAATGTGCCAAAGTCAACCCGGAAATAGATCCCCCAACAATGATTATTGTGAACTTGGGTTTCTCCATGTCTTTCGATATTGGACTGAGACGTAGGTCAAGGGGGAAATATAGGCGCGAGGTATTGGTCTGACCCACACAATGGTGTAGCGCAGCTTGATAAACTGAACCAAATGAGACTGCTCCGGTCTGTGTTAGAAAATCTCGGCTCTACCCCTTGCTGCAGTGGGTTCTACTGTAGGATGACGATGGGAGATTTTCATTAACATGCTGTACGTCTAGGGTGATCACTAGCATTCCTTTTCTTCAGCTATAATTCCACGGCATTCTATTCAGATGCATTCCCTCACTTGGTGTCTCTTTTGGACCCACCCGTTCCTGTGACTGGCTGACATGATACGAATGATTTTAATAATCCTTTTCCCGTGGATATGGCCCTCAGGTAATAGTTTGCACAAAAAGTTGTATATAGAGCACAGATCATTGTCCGAATCATCGGGGACCGCATAAGTTGGTCAATCTACTTCCAGAACCCACATAATATATCCAACTGTCTGCACCGTACAGCACCGAGCCAATCACTCAGTGAAAGGGTATGGTTCCTTCCTTTCCCTGAATGTGTGCATCTATTTGGTCTTCTTTTCGGTGTTCCTTTTGGTCGGGGCGTCGATCTCTTCTTGACGTCGAACAGCATAATACAGGCATGGGTAGGAGATGTCAAGCACGAGAGTCAACCCAATGTAGAATTGACACATTGGGCTCTCAAACCACGGACCTGCAGGTATGCCACAGATGTAGTATATCGATAGTTTGATAAAACCTCCAACAGTTGCAATCGCACGCAATGACCTTTCTTCGAATCAGTATTCAAGACCTGGGGGACAAGTGAAAACTCGATGTGTAAGCGAGCAAGGGCATACCAGGTCAAAAGGGAACTGCCACGAGTATTATTCCGGGATAAAAGCTGGCATATCGGCCCGAGACTTGCAAGTGTTTGGCATAGGACACCACCCCAAAAGAAACCCAGGTCAGGCCCAATCTCACCCGCGAGGGAAAGTTGACCGGCAACGAAGCCAAGAATAACCACCCCGTAAATAAAGTAGATGTTTCGTTTCACGATTGGCGCATCATTCCATTCACTAGGCGCGAACTTAAGGATATACGTGATCACAGCGCAATGAACCAGGAACCACACCCGCACACCACCTTCCCAATGTGCACTTGCGGCCGGGTGGACGAAGGCATACACAAACTCCCATGCGATATCGCAACAAAGAGGGAAGATGCCTGTGTTAGGAATCCTCTCTCTCCCAGACACGTACATCATACTGAAGTAATTCAGGGTCCAGCAGATCCCAGCAAGCACGCGGAGAAATTCTGCAACGGAGCCTAGTTCATCTCGGTATTCGAGAATGGCTGAGACTATAGGAGAATTCCCCATAGCTGGTAGTTCGAGAAGGGAGTGGTAGATAGGAGTGAAAGTGTGAAGCAGATTGTGTCGAGAATATTGTAGATTGGGCTTCGGAATTCACCACGGGAAAAAGATTCCACGTCCGGTCTTTACCGAGGCCAAGGATCTCGGCAGCTGAAGTCCCTTCATCAAGGGCAGGGATTTTCAACGCAAGGACGGCTGAATCCTTTGGTGGCGGTACGATTCATGCATACACGAAACGTAGAATGTAGGCAGGGTGGGGTGGCTGCATGTATGGACATACAACAGGGATAATTATGAATGGTTTATCGGCACGGCTTATTTAGGCTTCCCATGCACTAAAACGTTTTTCCAAATTCTAATAGTTCCACTCATGTAAAAAGGGCAATGAATATCTTAAAGTCGCAAGTCTCGCGCTTTTACTAACAGTAATGATTTACATACCTACCAATCTTGCTGGATACGTTGAATGATAGACGAAAAAGAAACGAAATGAAAAAGAAAACAAATCATAAATCACAAATTACTAGTGCATTCTGCGATTGCAATGCAGGTTTACTTTTTTATTTTTTAAGTTTTTTTTTTTTTATATCTTGTTTCGTTTCGCTGGAATTGTTGGCCACCAATTTGAGAAATTTAGCTATTAGATGTTTGTGTTTGTATGTGATAAGGTTCTTTAGGGTAAGTGTAATCAGATGATGAAGATCTAGGCTCAAAATGTGTGCTCCTGTTTCACTTAGTTTACGGGCGGTCTTGGAATCCAAGACTCTGGTCAATATTTGGTGTGTTCCGATCCGGAAAATTTTTAGCTATATGTATATTCTTCTACATACAATTGGCGATAGCTTGAAAGTCTTTGAAATTATATCATGGGCCTGAACACAATGGGAAACATGTCATATATCCACACTAACTGTAGACAGTAAAGTTAGCTACTTTTGATATCATGTAATTATTGCCCTGGCCTCCAGCGGAAGCCACAGGCTTTGGTTAAAGATAAATGGGCAATTCGAGACAAGCAGAACCACTTTTGTTGAGCTTTGAAAACGCTGGGGACTTAAGATAGAGGAGATACTTCATATCGAAAAATAATCATTGTGGGGATTCACTTAGGGAACCGGAAGTTACATTTCTGCGTGTTTTAGACAGTAGCAAATATGCTGTGTTACCGGAGACATGCCCCTTGGATGCCCTGTTTGATCTTGAGTAAGGTGGACCTTCGATATTGGTAGCTAATCTCATTCGCAAACAACAACGGGGTGGTTAAATATCATGGCCCCGGACCACTCCACTAAGGATCCAAAGCCTGCTTTTTCATTTTGTTTTTGCATATATCGAAACTATGAGGCTCAACAACTTGGCAATCCTCTGGGCCGTCGGTCTTGTCCGAGCAGATATCCAAGGGTCCCCGAAATCTGCCGTTGCTTTTGACCCTCAGTCAAATGACCCAAGCTCATTCAGCCAGTCCCCTCCTCTTGGACAACGTATTAAGCGTCGGAAATGGGAAGTTGAGTGCGACAGTAGCACCGGTGATCACCCATGCGACAATATTATCGATGAAGACGTCAATGATTACTGGCTGTCCCAAGACAGTACTGAGCATCAAGTTGTTGTCGACCTGGGCGAAACTCGCAGCGTGAACGCCATTGAGATCCGCCCGGCCGGTGAGGATGGATGGATCCAGGAGCACAAGGTGTATGTGTCCATGGACAAGAATAACTGGGGTCCTCCAGTTGCCTTTGGCACATGGAACGCGGACAACAGCATCAAATACTCCATTTTCAACCCCAAGGAGGCCCAGTTCGTACGTCTAGTCAGCGAAAGCCCCAAGGCGAGCATTTCTGACTTGAACATCTGGGAATACACAGTGCAAACCGATGATGACTTTGTTGGTGGTGCCTGGGGACCAACAATTGATCTGCCTGTGATTGCGGTGGCCGGTACGGTCATCCCCCAAACGGGCGAAGTCATGGTGTGGTCAGCCTATACCACTGAGGACTACAATAACTCTCCCAGTGGATATACCTTGATGTCAATCTGGGATCCCGCAAGCAATACCGTGACAAAGCGTAATGTTAGCGAAACACACCATGACATGTTCTGCCCTGGGACCTCGTGGGACGGTAGCGGCAAACTGGTCGTGTCTGGTGGCTCTGATGCTGCTCGCACCAGTCTCCTCGACCCGTCTGATAAAACCTGGATCTACGGCCCAGCGCTGAACAGACCTCGGGGATACCATGCTTCTGCAGCCCTGGGAAGTGGCGATGTGTTCCTGGTCGGAGGTGCTTGGAATGGAGGAACGACTGCCAAGGCGGGCGAGGTGTACAGTCCTAAAACCGAAAAGTGGACGAATCGCCCCGGATGCAAGGTGCAGCCCATGTTAACCAACGATAAACAGGGTATTTACCGTGCGGACAGCCATGGTTGGTTGTTTAGTTGGAAGAATGACACTGTCTTCCAGGCCGGCCCCAGCAAGGCGATGAACTGGTATCACACCCAAGGCGATGGAGACGTGACTCCTGCCGGCTCTCGCTCTACGTCCGACGACGCTATGTCCGGTAATGCTGTCATGTACGATGCTGTCGCGGGCAAGATCATCACCTTCGGTGGCTCTCCTAGCTATGAGAACACTGATGGCACCCAGGAAGCCTTCCGTATCGAGATCGATGATGTTGATGTTAATCCCATCGTCACCTCAGCAACGAACGAGAATGGCCAATCCGGTATGAACTTCCCTCGTGTCTTCCACACCTCGGTGCTTCTCCCAGACGGCACCGTCTTTGTGACCGGTGGACAAGCCCATGGTATACCTTTTAATGAGGACACCGCGCAGCTTACCCCGGAGCTGTACCTCCCCCGCACCAACTCGTTTGAAACCGACACTCCCAACAGTGTCATCCGTGTCTATCACAGTATTTCACTGCTGCTGACTGACGGGAGAGTCTTCAACGGTGGCGGTGGGCTCTGCGGCAACTGCTCAGCGAACCACCTAGATGCCCAGATCTATACGCCCAGATATCTCTTCGATGAGAATGGTAACCTTGCCACTCGGCCTGAGATTACCAACGTATCTGGAACAGAGGTTAGAGCTGGCGACAAATTCACTTTCAAAACCTCGGGCCCTATCAATACTGCTTCCCTGGTGCGGTATGGCTCAACAACCCACACCGTCAACACTGACCAGCGCCGTATCTCACTTGATGCGATCAAGAGTCTCAGTGGCAACGTGTACGAAGTCACTCTTCCGAGCGATCCGAGCATTCTCGTACCAGGCTGGTGGATGCTGTTTATCATGAATGACAATGGTGTACCCAGTGTCTCGAAGACCATCATGGTCCCCTCTGCCTGAGTTCTCGTTATAATCGTCCCTTTCAAATCTGCTTTTTTTCTTCATACTTATGCCCGGAGGAAATCATCACCTCAACTTCAATCCTTGTGCACAGAGAGCATCTTATCGGCTACTGTTACAGGTGAAGTTCCTCATTCCTAATTAGTTAGTTTCTTCAAGAAAGTCATTCCGTGGTTATCAAAAATCCAAGGGAGAAAGAAAATTTTTCTTGGCTAGGTTCAAACGAGAGCACCACAGCTTCGGACGTCCATCACAGCACTCCATATTGATATTTGTGGACAGATAGAAATGGTCTCGACTTGACCATATTAGGCTGAATCGTGATATGCACCAGCCCTACACCTACATTCGGTTTGTCACGGAAAAAAAGAAAAGCAGAGAGACTCTGACAGGCTCAGTCACACCGCTTCCACGTTGTGGAAGATCCTTTCACGGGTATTCCTATCTTGCGGTTCATGATGTTACATCCTGCATGCAAATGGGCAGCGCTGCAGACCCGCCCCAACGTCATGAACCCCTGACTTATTACCCATGGTTCAGCATATCCATCGGCCTATCGCATTTTCGGTGAGTGGTCAGGCAGTGGGCTGATCAGAAGCATGGTCAACGGTTATCACCGTGTCTCAGTGGTTACAGCCGCCCGGCTGGACCAAGCGGATGTAAAATCGTACTATTCTTTTTAATCAATCTTTACCAGACAGGGAAGGGGCAGACATGACAATGCTGGAATTTGCGTGCTGTGTGATTCATACAATATTCAGGCTGTGCCCTAAGCTGTCGACTGCGTTATCATGTATCTATCATACATATGTAGAGTGACCTAAATATTCTTCATCATTGGCTTGCTGGACAGAGGCGAGCAATATTACCTGTCCAATGTGACCTATCCACATCCTATGCGGTTGTACAGACCCATTCTCGCTGTGGCCATGACATGCAAGGAAAAGCGAGCCCTAGTGTGATGCGGTCTAGGACAGCATCAGATTATTAATACTCTATGCATCAAAAGCTTCATTGGGTCCCTATGTTGAAACCCGAGACATGATCGCTCACTCAGTATTCCGTTTAAGGCAACCGCAAACAAGTAGGAATTACGCCGAGCGTCACCACTACAGTTCTACGCATTTGAATTTTTATTTCAAGTATCGTAGACCATGGCGGGTGAAACGTAGCCGCCAGACCGACCAAGGTATCTAGGTACCCCCAAGGGCTTAAAAACCCTCTCCCCAACCCTGCAGCTTGCCATCAGTTATCCTTCCACTCCATCATATTGTTAAGAGTAAACTTGATTTGAACATTTAATCGGATACAAGTTCGAAATGCCTGATCTCAACAATATCCAAGGCGATGTTTGGTAAGACCATAGTTGCGAGACAGTGGTGAATATACCGTTGACCTTGGTAGGCCTCGTCTGCCGAAGAAGGCAGAGACCTTCTACTTCTTCAGCATAGAGGACCCTGCCGTCTTCAAGCAAAAGTTGGCGAAGCTCGTGCCTATGATCACCACCGGGCAAGAAGCCAAAGACACCCGTTCGGATCTTTACGCGCGGAAAAAGTCGGGAGAGACTGGGCTCATTCAACTGACTGCCATTAACATTTCTTTCTCGTACACTGGAATGAAAAAAGTAGGGTTCAATATTCGCTCTTCTTATAATATTATTACTTACAACGCATGTAGCTTGGCAAGACCGACATCGGCGATGACATCTTCAGTGGCGGACAGTACAAGGACATGGTTACTGGTGGTCTCGATGATCCACAGGACTGGGACAAGTTCTATACCGGCTACAATGGCACCATAGACGGTGTTTTTATTATCACTGGAAATACATTGGCGGCAGTGGAGAAGACGTTTCTACACCTCGTCCAGCCAACCTTCAGCAACGGTGGTCCGACAACTGGTATGCGTATAGTCCACACTGAAAGTGGAACCGTTCAGCAGGACGACAAGGAACAGTAAGGACTCCAAATAACCTACTGCATGAGGTGAACTCTGACGCCGGCCTCAGTTTCGGCTGGGTGGATGGTATCTCCCAGCCTCTTGTGGAAGGTCTGGAACCAGCAACCAACAAACCTCGCGAACCTAGGCCGGTTCCCAATGGGTACAGCCAAAATCTCTTTCACATCCGCAACAGGAAATGCTTATCATTACCAGTGTGTTCTTCATTGGAGGCGATGATGATTACTCCAATCAGCCCGCTTGGGCCAAAGACGGGTCCTTCATGGTCTTCCGCCGATTGCGGCAGTTGGTGCCCGAGTTCACAAGGTATGCGGCTACATCATATATAAAGGAAAAGGCTGACCTCACGATTTGTTAGCTGGAGTGGGAAGAACTGCGAGGACCCGACAAGCATGGATGTCATTCGCTTGTTCTCATCGCGTGTGGTGGGACGATGGCCCGATGGTTTATATTATCACTGACCCCCTCGGGTACGCAACCACTAACTCATATAATTTAAACAAGGTGCCCCGCTTGATAAATATCCTCTACGCGCTCCTCACGACGGTGAGCCCGACCACCCAGTTCAAAAAGAGAATGATTTCGACTATGGCCCAGATGTGGAGAAGCAAGCTAGATGTCCCTTCGCTTCGCATATCCGACAAGTCCGGCCACGTAAGGATTTCCCTGACGACTCCCAAGCGATGATCCGCCGAGGCATTCCATATGGCGACTGGACCGACATTGAGGAAAAGCGAGGCGGTCATACTTTGAAACAGCGTGGATTGCTGTTCGTATCCTACCAGTCTAGCCTTCGTAGTGGCTTCCGCTTCGTGATGAAGGGTGAGAAAGTTTCCTTTTATGTTGTTTGGTGGGTTACGCAATAGCTAACAGTTGCGGTCAGAGTGGGCGAACAAGTCCGACTTCCCTCATGACAAGTTTGCGGCATGTGGGGGTCAAGGCCCCGGCATCGATCCCATCATTGGTCAAGTTCGCAAATACCCAGGCAAGGCAAACATCCCCAGCGCCCTCGGGATACAGGAGGCGTCTGATGTCTCGAATCGTTATGTTGATGTCGAACGCTTTGTGATTCCTGAGGGTGGCGAATACTTTTTCACACCTTCCATTTCCGCTCTCAAAGATGAGCTTTGCAAGTAGAGTGAAGCTGCGATTCTGCACAGCCTTCCGTGCTTCTCAATACAATCGGGGATTATGGAATACACGTTTTGATGAAGTGAGCGATACGTTCCGTGATTGATAGTAACGTGTACCAGCCAAAGATATGTATGCGGCACAGTAGTAGTAGATACAGAATGTTCAAGCCGAGCACGGAGTGGAGCTGGGTAGAAGAAAGAGAGAGTGGTTCTCACTTCGTGCTTCTGGAAGACATAGGTCACCTAATTTCCAACAGTAGTAGTACTCAGACAGATATGATCTCAGAATGAGCCCCGCTGCTTGATAGGTTTCCCTCATTTGCTGTAGAATCTTCCCGTCTTCACAAATCTCGTCTGTCCTTATTGTGCCTTTCCCTTGGTGTGCAGCTTGTAGAGGTATTCGAGGTACACCTCTGACGTATGGGTCAATAATCAGGTATTTTGTTCCACAAGGCGCGTTTGAAATACGATTAATATCACTAGCTTGACAAACAGATCTATCAAACTCATCCGTGCAAGTCAACTGCAGTACATAGAGATTTATACTGTGCTATTGACAAACTACAGGGGAATTTCCTCCTTCCTGCGCCTGATAGACACCTTGGCCATCGGATCCGCCGCCAATCTCATCCCGAACTTCTGCACCTGGGGCTCACACCCTTCTGCCAATCGCAAGTCATACTTTAACAAGATATGACACAAAGCTATCTTGATCTCATTGGCCACGAAAAAGCGTCCCGGGCAAGCATGCTGTCCAAACCCAAACCCCATCTGCTCGGGGGACGGCGAAACTAGTTGAGCGGCGGCTTCGTTCTTCGGGTTATCTGTTCTGCGCATGTTTGCAAATCGATAGGGATCGAACTTTAATGGGTCCGGATATATACTTTCATCCCACATCCTGTCGCAGGATACAAGCAATTTGTCGCCTTTGGGAATTATTTGTCCATCATGAAGATGGACATCTTCTCGGGCGACGCGTGCCATGATCGCTGGGCTCATCGTTAAAATACACTCTGTCAAGTACCATGCTAGGGCAAATATTAAACTAACCGATAGCCATTGGTTTCAACCGCTGGCACTCCTTGATCACGCTATCCATCAATTTTAGCTTGTAAAGTGTCGTCTTTTTCCATCCTTCAGCTTGAACCACGGTGACGATTTCCTCGCGAAGTTCGCGGATGAGGTCTTCCCGACCGCAGATGTCGAGAACGGTCTGAGTGAACAGGTCAGTTGTAGTGTGAATGGCGGCCGCAGAGAGCGCAAGCTGTGCCGCGGCTGGGTCGTAATTGCGGCCTTTGGAAGTATCCTCGAGCCACTGGATGGCATCATGATATTCTACACCCCTCCCTGAGCGATTAGCGGCGCGCCTCTCTTCCAGGACTGGATCAATGATCCTCCTCGCCTGTTTCAGCTGCCGCTGGGCCTTCCGACTCGTTGGCAGGTACCTGACGGCAAATGGGCGCATGAATTCTGGAAGGAGGCGGAGCTCCTGAGCGGCCGTGAACGCATTGATAGTGTAGTTTATTGTTATGTCAAGCCATTCAGGGTCACGGCATATCTTGTCCCCCAGAAAGATTCTGGAAGAAAGTTGGGCAACCATTTTCAGAATGGCGGGTTTTAGCTGCATATCGTGCCACTCTGTTGCGTCCGTCCACTGAGTCTTCAAAACGTAAGTAGCTTCTGTGCAAAGCGGAACCATGGCATTTGCTAATGGATAGGTCCTGCGTTAGCAGCGTCCATAAGTGATCGACGGCGGTACTTACCCAGGTTTTGCGTGATTTTGATGCGGACGGTATCTTGGATAATGTTGTCATTTGCTGTAACCCTGAATGGCTCAAAGCCAGGAAGATTTACATGCAACTCAGTCGCCAAGTTATCGGTCAAGCTGAGTTCAGGAAGGTTGCGGATGTCATTGGCATATTTGGGCGACAGCATCGTTCTGGTGCCGTTATCAGTGATGATACGGAAAACTCCGCCCTAGAGGCAAAAGTGAATCAACATGAGGCCTAATGATTTAGGTCATGAACATACCTTGCTCAATCCCTTCTTGATTAATGCGGCAGCATCCTTCATGTACCGCGCCCGTGCGCGGGAGTTGCTGAATTCGAATGTCCTTCTTGCATTGATGAAAGGGAATGCCGATTTTCGAGATGATGTCAAAATGAAAAATAGCAATGGCAAGGTGAGAAAAAGGATGGGTGCTAGGGTAGGGATATGGGATAGTGCTTCGGGCGACATTGTCGATCTGGGTACCGTGTATATAGAGAGGGCTGGCGAAATGAAGGCGTCCCAAAGAAACCTCTCACAAATTTGTCGCGAAGAAGGGGGTTTATAACATATGAACTTAGGGGAGGTACTGGATACAACATAATTTATGCACCTTTATGTGAGCGCCGGGACGGATGTTCGAGGAATTTCACGACTAGTTGATGGCCCCTAGGTCGATCAATGGCTGGCTGTAGTCACTTTCCTGAACAAGACCACTTCTAGCCAGCCTACTGGTATCTGCCTTTGGCCCACTCATTGACAAAAAATGCTTTTTATCACCCACGGCCAAGAAAAAAAATACACAATAACAATGCAGCAGCGAAAATCATTACGCAGGGGGCTTGAGAAGGACGTCGCGTAATCCTCTCACCCACCTGCAAGATGTAAGGAGTCATGGAATGTACGAAGAAGCGAATTATGGGAGGCATTTATCACTTTCTCCTTCCATCAAAGATGTTTCGCATAGATTGACTCTATACAAGATATGTGGTCGGTCACGCTCACGAGGAACACTGGATATAATGCAAGTACTGTCAACCGATGCATCTACTTCGTCGATCAGAGTGGCCGCATTGACAAGACCAGGAATCCAGATAAAGTCTTCGTCTTTCACAGGACCAAGGATTACTTCAATACACAAAGCCTTCATCGGTAGCCTCTGTGCTCTAGTATTGCTACCATGTGTTACTATCTAGGTAGCGATTGTTCAAGTTGTCTTTTCCGTGTTAATTTTCTGTGGCCAGATTCAGCGCACTGCTAGGCATCAAATGTGGTTTACCAATGGTCTATATTCTCTTAGACCATGAGTCGAAGACGTGCTCACTATACTTGAATCCTCTTTACCAAAGCCAATCAGAAAGAATTTAATTCAAGGTTAATTCTAAATTTACCTTGCCTATTATGTTCCAAAGCGATTGAAGTCCTGGAACAAGAAATGTTTATTCGTCACAGAACTACCTTATACCTAGCTTTGCACGTCGACTAGATTGTCGACCAAGCATTATCAATGGGAATTACCGCTCCGTTGATTCTTCGACTAGCTGGAGAAATCAAGAACAACAGAGAACTGGCAATGTCATCTGGCGTGATGGCGTACCCTTTTTCCTTGTCCGATGAATGCGCCGCATGTATTGGCGACATGACAGCCAGGGCATCCTTGTCAAAGGCGTCAAAATCCTTGAGGATGCCTGTATCATTGCTGACACCTAGTTTCAATTAGTGATGGGAGTACACTGAGTATTGAAAATGATAAAAATGATCTTCTTACCACCGGGACATATGGCATTGCAACGAATGCCTTCATGCTTGAACCGCCAAGCTACATTCTTGGTTACCCCAATAAGACCGTGTTTGCCTAGATGTGGGTCTTGTCATTCCCAAATCCTCCGGGCCAACTGTTACAAGATTGAAATGGTCACTCACTCGCTGTATAGGCTACACCGGAGACTGCACCACTCAAGGCAGCTTTGCTGGCAACATTCACGATGCTGCCGCACTTCTGCTCGCGCATTATGGGAAGCACCTCACGCATCAGTTTAACGGGTGCAGTGAGGTTAACAGCGATACATCGATCCCACACTTTATCCACGACTGAGTCTGCGCTCTGGTTGTGATCCATGACGCCAGCAATGTTCAAGAGCGCGTCAATTCGCCTTCCATATGCCTCGTTGGATGCCGATAGGACCTTCCTTGGCGTGCAAGGGTCAACCAGGTCTCCCTGACAAAAGGCGAATCTCGGATGCTCGCTGAGTGATGCTGGCGGCGAGGAAATATCTACCCCGAGGACCTGGGCGCCTTCGCTCAGCGCAGCAGTTGCCGTGCTCAAGCCTATCCCCGATGAAGCACCAGTGATGATTACAACCTATATATCATTCATTGCTTAGCAACTCCATCGAGTGCATCTGAAATGGCTTCTCCATACTTACTCGATCTTTGAGTGATCCCATATCGTATTTGGCCGGAAATTAGTGTAGCGTATGGAAGGCAGAGGATTGAAAGCTGTTTTACTGATATAAATTGGCCTGAACCCCTTGTTAGAGACCGAGAAAGTCAAGGATATGCCCAGCAATTAATTATTTGTGTGAAGCCGCGTGGTCAACATAGCGCGCAGACAGACTAACCTCCTTCTAGTGCAGGCCAAGCGAGCCACCACTGTGTACTCATGCTGGCTCAGCTGAAGCTGACGTACATATATACTTGGTCTCCACATTACAGTCGGCAAGGGGTAAGGAATTTAATTAAACCAACAAGACAACGTGGCCATTTAGGTTACTCCCACACTGTGGCGCCTTTTAAGTTCATTTTCGACCCATCTATTTACGGCCATATTAGAAGGACCCCCATGGAAGCTATTCGGACCCCCATTCCACTCGCTAAACCTAATTAGGCCTCATGCAGTAATTGTATTTCCAGTGCATTAATCGGTAAAATGCCTGCATTTCTTGGCAATGCTAATGCACCGAGGACTGGAGGTCCCAAATATACTCTTCGAGTACTTCTATTTACTATGTAAACCCCTAGTAAAAATAAGTCGCTTTGTCGTATATCTAGCTCATGAGTCCCGAACGGGAGATCACCCCCGATTAATTAAGCAGTAATTAGGGCATCGCTAGGCGCTATATCTTCGGCTTCTTATATCTCAATAACTTCCACCGCCGGCGGCATCTCAGGGACTGGGAATAGCTTCGTCTACGGCCCAGGCACTACCTACAAGCAGTCCTTAGCCGCCACCGGCATCTTAGGGTACGGCCTAGGGTGAGAATGCCTGGTCCGACCAGCTTAGGAAGCCTCGGAGAGCTCTCTAAATAGTTTCAGGACGTATTAGAGAGCTCCAATATAGGAAATATGCGAAAATTTACTGCTTTCTCACGCTTTTTTCGAAAGTTTGACTCAGAACAGCATCTAGTATTGCCAAGAAACGCATGCATTTTTACCGAATAATGCATTGGAAATACAATTACCACGCTTACTCATTACAGTTAGTAAAATGGAGAGGGGGTCTAAATAGCTTCCATGCGGGCCTTCTAATATGGCCTTTATTTATTGATGTATCGAATTTTTATTGTGCCCGTGCACGGGAGTCAATTACGGAAAGTTTCGCGAGTTGACTCAAGGGAGTAGACATCCCGAGTGTTGCTCAAGAGGCCCAGTATTATGCTAATGCACGCCTATTCTCAGTACGACCTACGATCTTCCAGTATTTCGATACCATTTCACTATTCACAGTGAGTTCCGAACGAGCCCACACCGCATTTTCTATACCGCCTTTCTACTATGCTGCGGTACCTTCCAGCGAGGAATAATGTGCAATGCATACGTGCAGGAGATCGTTAGCTGGGGCCTCGAATTGGCTTGCTTTTCTGTGCTGCTTTACGGGTGGCCACGGACAGACTATGGCCGCTCGTACCCAGTACTTTTGCCTGGGACCAGGGTTAGACGTTTCCCTCCGTTTTCCGTCTTTCTGTTGCCATATCTATCTCTCTCCTGCACATTCTAGCCGTCACTGGGCAGCTTAGAATCAACATGACCAAGAACCAGTACACATTTCCCCCTGGGTCGACAGTCCTGGTCACTGGGGCCAACGCGTATATTGGATCGCACGTTATCAACATCCTCCTAGGCCTCGGATACCGCGTTCGTGGCACCGTCCGCACGCCCCGACCTTGGCTGAATGAGTACTTTGATACATGTTATGGCCCGGGTTTGTTCGAGACGATCCTGGTAACGGACTTCCGAGACCCTAGCGCATTTGATCATGCTCTCGTTGGGGTGTCCGGGGTAGTCCATATGGTACGTGCCGCTTTCCCCCATCAAATCGAAGGCCTTGGAGCAGAATGATCTAATTGGCAAAGGCCCAAGCTATGCCATGGGATCCAGCAAACAGCGATCCTGTGGGGTACACTGTCGCTGGAACTTTGAATGTCCTCCGAGCTGCATCCAGTCAAGACTCCATCAAGCGCGTGGTACTTGCTTCATCCATTGTTGCAGCTGGCTATCCCGAAGGCAGTGAGCCTTTTAGATTTGACACAGGTAAATCAAAGTTATAAACTCCCTGGAAAGCGATCAAAGTTTGATTATACCTAGACTCGTGGGACACATCTACACCGGAAACTGCAATATCGATATACACTGTTTGCAAGACCGAAGGCGAGCGACAGGCCTGGAAATGGGTGAAAGAGAATCAACCTTCCTTTGTGCTGAATACAGTTCTTCCGTGGATGAACGTGGGTTCACCCCATACCTGACTAAATCTGTTCAATTGACCCGAACACCGCTAACGGTTCGAACTTTCATCTCTTTAGTTTGGTCGAACTCTTCACCCCGAAATTGGTAGCTCAGGACACAAATGGATCCGAGCCCTTCTACAGGGGGATTCGTTTCCTTTCAAGGTGGTTCCCCTACGTAAGCATATCGTTTACCCCAAATGGATCATGAAAACACTGCTAAGAACCCATGCCATAAACAGCATGGTTTATCGACGTGGAAGATTCCGCGCGGCTGCACGTCATCGCGTTGCTGGATAAGGAAGTCAATTCGGAACGGGTATTTGGGGCTGCAGGGCCTTTTGTATGGAGCGATATAACTGCAGTTATGAAGAAGACGGAGCCGAAGAACAAGCTCATTCCAGATCCACCGAAGAATGAGAAGGCGAGCCTGGGAGTGGTGGTCCCAGCTCAACGAGCTGAAAACCTTATTCGTGCCTTCTTTGGACGACCTGGTTGGACTACTCTCGAAGATTGCATTGAAGCAACCGTGAAAACTGCATGAGAGTGGTTTCCGACACCACAGTGCGGTAAGGGACCTCTGCTTGTAAGGGTGCTGGACAATATATCTACCAATTACATCTGCCATAGTTCTTTCTAGAGCTATCTTAGTAGAGTCGACCATTCGAAAAGTATGCATTTCCGCATGCACTTTGGTAGTCGTTGCCTGGCCTGTATATTGTCCGAGTAGATACAACTACCCAAGCTCATCGTATTTACGCTCATATTTATTCTCGCACTAAACTGCTCAAGTTAAATCGGGTGTTTTTGTTGTATTTGGGTAGTAAGTCCTGGAATGGAAAGGACCCTCAGAAATGTTCCTGCCCTTGCCCAGGTACCCTTTCAAGTCTATCTTCTAAGCTAATTGGAGAACACTTGTGAACTAGGAGCGATTGATCGGAAGGTCACAATTTATTTATGTTCGAAGCAATCTGTGATGTAATTGAGGGTATGGTGGCATTCGGCGCTAATACCCCAGGTGCTTCTCGATATATCTCGACGTTATCCATCAAATAACATATTTCATAGCCCAGATTTCGATATGCCCCCTATAGGAATTCCAATTTCCATTTAGCCTGAGGGAACCTGTAGGCGGCTCAATAGAGCTATTATGCTGATGACAGGAACAAGACTATGGTCGGTAGCTTATCCTTAGCTAGCGTTCCTAAATTCCACAGTATCCTGGTGTCCTCATGCCATACATGGCAGATCCTGCACTGCGACATTGTCCTTCCGTCTCCGAATCAACAGCTTAGCTACCGGATCAGCGGTTCGAGAGGTTCCATGGCGACGGATCTCCGGCAAGCGCTCCTGGTCTAGTTTGAAGTCATACTTCAATAAAAGCTGACAGAGCGCGATCTTGAGCTCGTTGGCAGCAAAGAACCGACCTGGACATGCGTGTTGTCCGAAGCCCCAGCCGAGATGGTTCGGCGAAGGCGAGACGAGCTGTGCGGCTGTTTGCGCCTGCCGATTTGGGAGCTCGCGCATGCGCATATACCGGTAGGGGTCAAACTCCTGTGGATTCTCGTAGAAGTCGGGATCCCACATAGCATCAGCGGGGAACAGAATGGTCGTATTTTTCGGTATAAACATGCCGTCAGATAGAGCCACATCTTTGGTTGCAAGACGGCGCATGGGTGCTAGGATCGACGTCAGTTTCTTTCATCCATTTTCGAGCATTCAGGTACGATACTAATGGCAATAGGCTTGAGTCTTTGGCTCTCCTTGATGGTGCTATCCATCAAAACCAACTTGTACAGCGAGATTTTACTCCAGCCATTGTCGCGGACAACCGTCATGATCTCCTCGCGCAGTGCTGCCACTAGATCTTCCCTTCCAGCAATATCGAACAAGACCTGCGTCAACATGTCGGCTGAGGTGTGAATAGCTGCCATGGACAATAGGAGTTGCGAGATAGCTGGGTTATAAGCACGACCTTTCGCGGTATCTTCCATCCAGTCAATGGCATCGTTATATGAAACTGGAGTCTTCCCAGCCGCTCTGGCCGCCGCCTTCTCCTCTTGTCGTTCTTTCAGGACCGGGAGGATCAGATCCAGGGCCTCTCGCATGTCTTGACGGAGCCTCCGACAGGTTGGAAGGAACCAGTGAACGACATACCGGAGCAAATGGGGCCACTGACGGAGCTGCTCGGTGGCCTTAATGACGTGTACTGCATAGTTTATGGTAATGTGCAGCCATTCGGGGTCTCTGCAGAGCTTTTCGCCCAAGAAAACTCGGGAGGACGTTTGAGCAATTATCTGCGTAATACTCGATCGCAGTGGCACCGCGTGCCATTCTTTTGCTTGTCAGCCTTCTCACAGATAGTTGCACGAGTCGAGGACTACTCACCATGTTCATTCGTCCAGTGCGTCTCAAAGCTTAGTGCTGTTTCATGAGAGAGATGTTCGGTGACACGACCTAGTTCGTATATCAGTACAAGGCCCCGGCACTGTTTCAGCTAAGCGCCACTCACCGAGTGTTCTTGTCAATTTGGTCAACACCGCATCGTGGAGAATGCGTTCATCCTTAGATCCTTCCCGGAAGACCTCAAACCCAGGCAGATGCGACATGAGCTCCCTAGCGGAAGCCTTGTCACGACTCAGATCAGGATGCTGGCGGATCTCTTCAAGATACTTCGGAGACAGGACAATCTGGCAACCGTTGTCGGTGACAAGGCGGAAGCCTTTGGCAGACTATTTCAGTGATTGTGAGTATTAACTCGAATAAATAATAGAGATTAAACAAACCTTGGCAAATCCATCTTTGATCAGGGTGGCAGCACCGGAAACATAGCCCTTCTTGGAGGAGAGCAGGCCGAATTCAAGTATACTTTTCTCATTGATAATCGGCAGCTTTGAGCCTTGTGAAAAGATGTATCGCAGGGCCCAAGTTACCAGGAGAACGAGCCCGGCACCAACGAGCGTGGCATGTGAGTCTTGGATAAGGACCAAATCGACAAGCATGTTGGCTGAATTGAGGATAAAGTTCACCCTTGACGCCCGACGAATTCAAGTCCTCAGAAGAAATTAAGAGACAATGTGAGTAGGTGCGAGGACTACCCCGATCTCTCTCTTGCTACACTCACAATCCATATGCATTCATCCTGCAGTCAGTTTGCTGACTAAGGCAGTCTCCCAAGGCCTACGTAAACGATAACCGATCTCCATCCCTTGCTTGCTGATAACCCGCATATGCAGATGAACCTTACATTTTCATGTCGTGCGACGTGGACCATACTCCACTAGAGAGCATGCATTCCAAGGTTGGTGGCTTGCACAGCTGCGCCTGAAATCAACGAAGATCCCTGCGACTCCCTGCGAGACATGCGGATTCCGATCAACCTAATTGGTCCGAGGAATAATCGCCCACAAAGCACGGCGCCCATCGCCTCATGAAATACCAAACGACATTCCGTCACCGCCGGGTTACAAGTAATACTTATGCAAGGTTAGTGAGCCGGACGGAACCTCGGAAGTTGCAAGCCACAAAGTATGATTTAGGTTACCATGCGGGGCGGGCCGGAGGGTGGGAAGTCTGGCATTTTTGTCTGCTTACAGTATAGTATTATTGCTAGAGGTTAAATAATGTCCGGTTGAAACCGCTAAAGCCCTAATGCTAAGAGTACACCCCCAACTATACCATTTATTGAGACATCCTTATTTAGTACTATTTCGACCCAGCTAGAAGGTGTAGCGCTTGTGTTATATTGGTAATACAATTACAGCGTTAAGCGTAATATGGGTGAGGTGTACATTTGGAATTTTGGGTATATTTTTGTATGATCGCCATCTCACATTATTGAAGAGTCAAAGCATCCAATGGCGATATCCAACAATCCTGTGGCTCGCAAATCTCTAATTAACTCCCTAGGTAGGGGTTAATGACCAATCAAGCCAATCAACGTGTAGTAGAACAAATCCGATAACAACTGATAATACGGTCCAATACTTACCATTCATTGCAGCCTTCTGATTCTGCTAGAATTGGAACAGAATGGATATTAACAAACAATTATGGAATGAAATTCTAAGGCAGTATAGAAAAGAAAGTAACCTTATTTCAGGAGTAATGAAAAAATTGTAAATCATTGTCCTGGTTCGACTGCATGTCGAGTGCCCGCGAAAATAAATGACAACTATTGAATCAAGAGGCGAATCAAAAGCCATGCGATTGATCTTTACATGTCGCTTCAGCGCACGCATCTACGAGCCAGATTGGTATCTCGAGAAAGCCAATAATAGAAATCTTGATGTCTCAATTGGTTACTCACTTAGGTACTATACCACAGTGCGCCCTTAATCTTCCAGTAGGCGTCGTAGTGCTAGCATACATACGTAAGGTGTGCTAGTTTGTATACGTACTATGTCAAGTAGACTATTACGTCTAGGGCAAGGTCGTTTCTGGGCGCATTGGTGACGTGGATCCTTGAAACCAGCGGTGAGAGAGAGAGAAGCCAGGAAATCAGGGTCACCGAGCAGATGAAGCCCCATCATTTTCACGGTGGCAATTGTCGAACAGATACACGTCTATTTTGGAGCTAGACCAAAAATGTTCAAGGTTTCTGTATTGCCTGTTTGCATCTTGATAGAGCGGTTGTTTTCTGATGCGACAGTAATATATTCGTCCTGCTTGCTCTCGAGTATACAGATGTAATTATTTTTGACTCTCTAGATAATAACAGCGTTTGTATATCAGGCAAAGTGGCATTGGTTCTATATTAGAAGATCAAATAACAAAACGCGAATTTCAAACAATGCGAGCCATTAGCCACAAGCCCCCGCAGTTAGGTAAATATCTTCTAGGTAACGGTTTACTTCACAAACATTCCATTGAACAAGTAGCAAGACCATATCAAGGCTTGACATGTTTCTGTAAGAATGCAAAGCCGTCTTGAATTGCCTGCAAGGCTTCCTGGTTCTGCTTCATATCTGGATATATATCAAATAGATGCACTGCATCTAGCACCCGGATCTCAGCATCGACACCTACTTCGCAAAGCGCAGCGTATGTTCTCTGCGCTTGGGAAATGGGAACCAGATCATCACGGGTACCATGGATGATACAAGTGGGAGATTTGTACTTATGGGAACGGATCTGGGCCAAAGGACTAATGGCCTGGATATCTTGGATGCTCGGTGCTTCCAATTTGGTCATCTGACTCTTCTGACGAGAACCCAGACTGTTCAGCAGGAAAGGGATTGTCTGGCCAGTCCAGTTCATGTGTAATGCTATACGACTGCGAGCATCACTAGGGTTCATCCAACCGCCCAACGAGGACGACGGATTATATGAGATGATAGGCTTATCTTGAATGGCTTCCCACTGGTTGTATGTGTCACTGGAAAGAGCAGGATGACCAAATGGCAAGTTAGGTTGACTCCAGAAGGGGTCCTCATAGTCCGTGGGACTGTAGAACGACAGGATTGCCTCCGGCGGGCGGACGTCAACTTCAGCAGCTGTCCAGGCAAGTGTCATGGCAAGATGTCCACCAGTTGACCACCCAACGGTCACGACGTAATCTCCGTCAGGTTGTACGTCAGGGCGTTGGAGCACCAAGCCCGGCAACACTTGACGAGCCCACCGAAGGGCATCCCGAGAATCTTCCATAGGCCCTTCTAAGAGCGAGACCTCTGGACAGAGGCGGTAATCGATACTGACTGGCAAGAATCCTGCGGCAAGCAACATTTCGGTTTGCTTGGGGCGGATATCCTTGCGAGAAAGCATGACATGACCACCTCCATGAATCATGAGGGCTTTATGAAATGTAAGCCCTCGTTCGTCATTAGGATATTGGTATGTTTAGATGTGCTTCACGTACCGATAGGCCGAGACCGGCTTGATGTCTCAATATCAGGAGGATAGTAGATGTCCGCCTGTAGCTGGATACCATCCTTCTCAGCAAAACTCACGGACTCTTCGGTGACTAAGGTAGCTTCAGGGGAGCCGACGTTGGCAGGGGAGGCCACAATCAATCGTAAAATCTCAGATTCCTTTGCAGGGTTATTACTCCAGTCAACCCATTGGTAGCCAGCCTGGCGAAGGGCCTTATTCCAAGTATGTTCACTAGCAAGAGCATGCTGTCGACTATCGTCAAACATCCACCAGCCCTCGAGTAATCCGAACACCAGATCAAACCAGAACAGGTTGCGGGTCAGCTCTATCAAACAAAGAATCCCGTCCGGTCGCAGAAGCCTACGGATATTCTTGGTTGATCTCATGATGCTGGGAGTGGCGTGAACACAGTTTGACGAGATGATCACATCATACTGCCCTAACATTGCTTCAGGAGGATCCTGGTCGACATTGAGAGTTGCATAGCTCATGAAACTGTAATTTCGAAACTTCTTTCGAGCTAATGCAACCAGCGATGATGAGATATCGGTGAAGGTGTACTGAAAGCGTAGCCCAGAAACGTCTGCGAGTTGGCCGAGGAGGAAGCCGGTAGTACCACCAGTGCCAGCACCGATTTCGAGAATCTTGATCTCTCTACTAGTATCACACTGGCTGAGGACATCATGGAGAAATTGTGTTAAGTGCATTGTTGCGGAAAGGAACATTGGTGCATGGGTGTATACATTCCCGATCAGTTCACGTGCCTCCTTGTCCTGGAACAGAAGGGTCAGAGGATCAGCCAAGCCAGTCAGGCACTCAGCCAGTTTGGATCCAGTGGTTCGGAGAAGGTTGTGCTCAGATTCATGACGAGGGTATTTTCGGACGATCTGCTCGTGTAGGGTAGAGGAAGGCGTGGTGGGAATGGGTCCTTCGCGTCGTATAAGAACGTCTCCTTCCCTTCGGACCAATTTGGAGTATTCCAAGATTGAATAGAGCTGAGCCTTTACCTGCTGATGTTGAGGCAACACTGGAAGCTGCGGAATAACCTGTCCGGGCCCGAAAGACTCAAGCGGGATCCCCATATCTCGGAAAGCCTCGACGACATACGCTGTTACAAGAGCCATCTGCTGAGGATAGACGGAATCACAGAAACCAGTCCACTGGGTTTTTTGACCGTGGATGGTAGTTCCTTTGAGGTTGGCAAACAGGTTTCTCGATAGCTCGGCCAGAGCAAGATATTTATGTGTGTCCGGTGCTGCGTCAATGTCCCTATCCTGCCATGACCTCTGCTCCACTGAGACCTCGATAGCCGCTTGAGCCTGGGCTGAGACTTTTACAGTTTCGGAGGAAGCATCCGGGAATATCCTGTTGGCCAGACTTTGAATATCAAATGTCTCCATCAAGGCAGCGGTGGTTAGGTTGAAGTTAAAGCGTTTATTGATCTCAGCCAGAACTTCAGTTCGCATGAGCGAATCAACGCCAATATCTTCAAGACTCGAGGACGGAAGTAGCTCCTCCAGCGGGATGCCTAGCAGATTGTGGAACATTTCCCGAACGGCCTCTATGTGCCCGCCGCCGGCTCCAACTACTTGCTGAGGATTCTGAGAGTTTCTCGTCAAGACCTCTTGGGTCTCAAGCTGGGGTTTTCCTTCACTTGACTGGGGGTTCGGCTCAGTTGCGTCCTTGTTCAGTCTTCTGAGAGCGCGAGACAGATTCGACATCAGAACACTGGTAAAGGTTGCAGACATGATGGCGAGAAGCAATTTGCCGTTTTCGGGGTCAAAAACGAAAATATCACACATAAATTGCTTCTTAGATAGTCGATCATAGCTTGTGTACGTTGTGCTAGTTCCAGTGGACTTGGTATCTCTGTTGATAAAGGAATCACTCAAAAAGATGTCCCCTATTGCACTACAGACGAAGACCTCATCGTCGCGTACTTCAGACAAACAGTTGACATGAATACCAGCCACCTGAAGGAAATTATCCACGAGGATGGGGTCACAGATGCCATTTGCAGTTTGAGATTCTTGCAAGGAGACGAGACCGGTAGCTTCATTTCCATTCGCAAACACATGTTTAACCCCTCGGAAGTAGTCTGCATAGGCAACGACTCGATTAAAGGTCTGGTAAACAGGTAGCCCCATTAAGCCACTAGAACCTGATGACTTTGCAATGGCATGTGAACGAGATGGAGTAATGAGACGGTCGAGGGACCGGAAACGTGAGCAAGCCTGGGTCGTTCCTTCCACTTTATGAAGTCCGATCTCGCCAGTCGCATGTGTCTCTGGACCTGACTTCCCCTGGCGTGTGAAGAGACAGAATGACCACCTCAGCTGGATGTCAGTTCGTGATAACTGGAGGCAGACATCTCCTTCGGACTCGAGAAGCAGTGGGGCAGAGATGCTCAGATTTTGTATATGTGGCATAAATCCAGAGAGTCCCTCCGGGTCTAGCTTATTCGCTGCCTCCAAAATTATCTCAATATAAAGAGAGGCAGGACACAGATGTTGTCCAACGACAGAATGGCCTTGGGCGCACAAGCGGTACACCGGGTGGGAAGCTTGAACGGAGAAAACGGTTTTCCCGGAGCTTTGTTCCACAATCCTGACGAGACCACCGTGATCATCTGGCAGTGACGGTGGTGGCAGGGGAAGGAACGCAAATGGATCAATTGGAATCCAATGCTTGGTTTTCGCAAATTGATAAGGTGGTAGATTTATCGACTTGTAAGATGCTGCCTGGTAATGACTGAAAGCCCAAAATTGCACTTCGACGCCCTTTGACCAAAGATTCGATGTGGCCTTAGCAATGTTGCGCTGTGCTTGTGGGCCTTCGAGGTTTGTCGATTGAAACACATGCCCTTCTGACGATTGAGAGGACTGGATAATCTGTCGAACCATCGGGACCACGGGAGACCCTGATCCAGCCTCGAGCCAGATTGCTGGCCCAGAAGCCTTCTGTGCAGCCCGCTCGACAGCAGATTCGAAATACACAGGCATACGGCTGTGCTGGACGATTTTTGTGGGAGTTACACAAGTCCAATCATCCAGCTCAGAGCAGGCCTCTATAGGAATTCGTGGCTCATGGTACACTAGTGAGTGGGCGACTGTGGTGAGGCCAGGAACAATCCTGTCGACCAGTCGAGAATGGAAGCCATGGGTACTGCGGAGACGCTTTGTTTGTATAGACATGGATCCATCTGCAGCCATAATTTCGAGATTTGCGATGGATACCTCCTCCCCAGCAACGACCAGGTCTCGCGGGCCGTTGAAGCACGCGATATCGACAGTATTGTTGCAGCCATTCAACAAGACTCTGACGTCTTCCTTTGCACCCTTTATGGAGAGCATGCTGCCATGTTCCAGACCCCAGCTGCTGTGGATCAGACCGGCTCGCTGAGAGATGAGCGTCATACAATCGGAAAGACCTAGGCTGCCCGCAACGCAAAGCCCGGTGAGTTGGCCAAAGCTGTGCCCAATGATGCGGTCCACCTTTAGCCCCGAGTCTATCCAAGCCTTTGCAGACGCGTATTGAATGGAGAAAAGTATGCAATGGAGGGATACCAGATCTTCAATTGGACTGGATTGGAAGATCGTTGGGAACAGACTGGGAAGACCCAGGGTTTGGCAAGTGCGTTCACATTCCATCTAGAATTGTCGGGTTAGAATCATGCCAAATTCTCAACTTTCGGAAATAAGGGAACGTACTATATGAAGCCGAAGTAGTCCACAGGAATTGAACAGGTCTTCTGATATATTTGCTGTATTCCCAGTCTGGCCCCCGAAGCAGAGGATCACGGGGAGTGGGCTTGCTAGTTTCTTTTGTGTGCATGCATCATTTGAGATCACTGCAGTGAGCTGGTCCAGAAAACTCGCGGTATCGTTAGAATCTGTTGAGAAAGTGGCCACGTAGTCCATTTTTCTGTTCTGTTTGATTGCGAGGTTATATGCGATATCTTGTATCACGTCTCCATGGCGCTGGACTGATGCCTTGGTGACGAATTTATGAAGAACCTCACAGTAAGCGCGAAGTGACTCTGTGGACTTCGCTGAAATGAAAATTGGGACTTCTGACATGCCCCCTTTGGCGTGGTCGGAACTGTCCGATGGTCTCCGGTGCTGCTTAACAAGAAGAGCTGCATTACTCCCGGCGGCGCCGTAGTTTGTGACCATGGCCACAGGATGTGAGGACTCCCAGTTGGTAGATTTTTCGGAAATAGCAATATTCTCTTTGTGGCAAGAAGGTATTTTGGGATTCAATCGAGAAAAGTTTGCCTGCTTCGGGATTCTGGCCTTTTGAATCATCATGACTGTCTTCAACAGCGCAGCAACTCCGGATGAGGTTTCAGTGTGACCTATATTGTCTTTGATAGACCCAATCCAAAGCCTTTCCGCTCGATTTGCACCACCAAAAACCTGACGAATGCTGTCAAATTCGATGGGATCTCCCACTTGCGTCCCTATACTACCGTTAGTGCGGGCACTTAATCACAGGGTAGTGTGAAGAAAACATACCAGTACCATGGGCCTCGACATAAGTAACTTCGTGTGGAGATGTCGCCCCAGCAGCGAGAGCCTTACGATATAGGGACTGTTGAGATTCTGAGACTGGGACAGTGATCGGAGAACAGTTGGATCCTTGGTTAACTGCCGATCCCGCGATGACAGCTAAAATTGTGTCATGATTGCGAAGAGCATCTTCCAATGGTCGCAGGATCACTAGCCCTGCGCCCTCACCACGGCAGTATCCATTTGCACCTGCATCAAATGCCCTGGAGGCACCAGTCGGGGACAGGAAAGAGGCAGCGGCGAGGTTCTGGGTCACTTTGGGACTGGTCATGACGTTCACCCCTCCAGCCATGGCAATCGAGCATTCTTTTGCCTGGAGGGCTTTACAGGCCAAATGAATGGCTACAGCAGCTGACGAACAAGCGGTATCAACAGTCAATGACGGACCACTCCACCCAAAGTAGTGGCTTATCCGCCCGCTGTTGAATGCCTGGAGAGTTCCGGTGGCGGAAAATGCGTTAGAGTCGCGGGATCCAACATTATCCGTGTAGTCGTCCGAGCCAACACCAACATAGCAGCCAATATCCGAAGTCAATGACGAAGCAGAGATCCCGCAGTAGCCGGCCGACTCCATGGCATTGTATGCGACCTGTAGTAGCAGTCGCTGCTGAGGATCCATGGCTTCTGCTTCCCGAGCTGAGATACCAAAGAACCGATGATCGAAAGCATCCGGCTGATCTAGGAAGTTTCCCCAGAACGGCCCCTTCGGCTGCCGTAGAAGCTCATTCATTTTGAATCTATCGTTGGGAATCTCGCTGACAGCGCATCGCCCTAATTCGAGCATGTCCCATAACGCCTCCACAGAGTCGGCTTGAGGATACCGACAAGCCATTCCGACAATTGCAATTGGGGTTACTGGGTCGTCACCATGACCGTTGAGACGGCAGTCCGCCATATCCTCTGCGGTTTCCACCCCGTTCGTAGGAGTGAGGCCATTGGAGAGCCCATTAGGAAGCCTGTCGTTGTCTTGGCACAAGTCATGACGACCATTCTGCTGTACCGAGTCCTTGCTCACACTCCGGGGTATAATGGAACTCTCGCCGACGGCCAACAAGCGAGCAGCGTCGTTGGTTTGCCTTATGGTGTTATATGCACCTGCAACAGTTGGAAGCCACTTGCATTGCATGACCAGGATCGATTCCAATGCAATGAGGAGCATATCTCCCTTAACTATCACGTTCCCATCCACGTTGGATCGAAGAGGCAAGAGAATACCACTCCCACTGGGTAACCGGAAACGCATGTCCTGCTCAAAGTACTTGACAATATGCTGTACAGCCACTTTGTGTACCTCGTGGTGGAATCTTCCTCTTAGAGCAATGGGCTTCGCCGATAAATTGCGACTTGCAATATCTTTGACCAAGGCGTCCATGTCTTCCTCTGGAACGGTTACTGTCACACTATTGGTGTCCAACTCGCATGACGTATAGGCCTGAATGAGACAGTCAGCGAGGTTGCGGATGTGAAATATTGAAAGGTTGGGGGGGAGGGTTTGTTTACCTTCGAATGGGATGCCAGCACTTGTTGAAACACCTTGCAGCCTGCGAGGTCTTTCCACCTGACGGCAATAGACCTAGAAGTACCATGGACTAACTCGTCTAAATCCACCAAGGCACCGATGCAGACGGCTATCCGGACAATTGTTGCTGTGAGTGACTGAAACTCGTCCTCACCCTTGGAGCAAGCGACCACGATCGCCGCCAAAAATCCCACGCAGAACCCTTGAGCGTCAATGACGTTCTGCTCCCCAATTGAGCCCTTGAGCTTGACGAAGTCCAATATATGAGTAATCACGGTGAGGGGCGTCATGATCACATTCATAGGTTCTGCCGTGGTTGCTGACGGCGAACCTTGTAACTGTTGTAGCAATGCGATGATCTGATCGTCCCCTGGAACTCGACAGAGGGATGGCCAGGCCTTAGTAATGTCAACCCAGAGGGAAGGCAGCTCCTGCAAAATTCCATGGATAAATTGAAGAGATGAATCTTCAACGAGAGTCGTACTAATTTTAGCCAAGACCACATCGACATCGTTGCGCTGCGGTCCGAATAAAACGGAGACCTGGTGTCTGGCAGTGGTCGTTGAAGCTGGCATCGGGCGAGACGTAATGTTTGAGGATAAAAAACGCATAGATGCAGTAGTAATAATCGATGGAGCACTCAAATCAAAGGAGTAACCTCTTCTATTAAAGAGAGAGTCTATCTAGCTCTCGAAAGGCCAAACATGTCTCATGGAACACCCAGCCTAGTCTATTGAAGATCTTGGTACCCTTGTGGCTAGCTTCCGACGTCCTTGCGTATACACCATGTATCATAGATCCAATCCTACCATCCTCAATCGTCGATTTCATCGGCCCCCTGCAGGTCGTGGTATTCTGGGTTACAGCAACCAAATAACTCTCCACAATAGCTTACAATATTCATTTCGTCTAAAATTCCTTTCCAACTGATTTGGCTCTTGATCGGCGGCGAGCATTTCGGTACAGGAATGGCCCAACCAATGATTATATGTGCTCGACTCTGGTTGCTGACTGGCTCTTGTGTCCTTTTTCTAATTTTTAATTTTTAATTGGAAAGCTCGGTGTAACTCCACGTTTATCTTGAGTCTCGAGATTGATCCTTTTCTGGCCTCGTTGGTGCACTTTTACATATTTTGGATTTGGGGCGCCGGAAGGCAACATGCATATGCATGCCGGTGCTGTTGCCCCCTACGTCAATTACTTTGATCGGCACACGAGAAGGCGGGAGGGTAGTGTGGGCCGGAAGTCTATTATTGTGGCTTTGTTCAGTGTACCTCGTCGATCTTGCTTCCCCCTCGCATAAGGCGTCTAGTGTGGCTGGCTGTACTCTATACAAACTACCCGATCATCAACATCATGCATAATTGAGGAATCTTGCCAGTTTGCACACCGCAATATGTAGATTCTATGTCACCTGCGAGACACATTCTTCTTCGATTTGGGATCTCCGTACGGAAAACTCAGATAGATAGACCCACCGCATAGGATATCGATCCTCTAGCCCTTATTATTACAACAACCCGTAAACCGTGTTTGGCTTCCTTCTTTTCTTTTCAGATCCTCCTACACATTTCACCCATCATGCACCCCGATTCTCAGCTGAAAGATGCGGTCACGAAGGGCTTCGACCCCAAACTCTTGTACAATCCTCACCTAGATCATGTCGGTGAGCCGGTTCGGACCATCCTTGAGGAATATAGCAATATTCCAGCGGACAAGATCTTGCAACACGTCCGTCAACTGGTCTGTATCTCTAGAGACCTCAAATACTTTTTATCGAGTTTAGATTACTGACCGTGAGCAGAGAGATCGAGCATTCGCCATCGTATGTCTCTTGTTACCCTTCTACAGTACAGCAATGCTCACTATGTCCAGTTCCCCTATGCCTGCGTTGGCCAGTTTTCTTTTCTCCAGCTTAGCATTGCATCTTCACCCATTTACCCTGAGATCCTCCGCCGGGTCAAGGAAGGAGACAAGTTGTTGGACCTTGGGTGTGCATTTGGGCAGGAACTTCGCCGGTTGGTACGTTCACCCCTCTGGAACTTCTTAGAGAAGTAAGCTGATTTCGATCATAGATCTACGACGGTGCACCATGTACAAATCTCTACGGAACCGACCTCCGTCCTGAATTTCTAGAGCTTGGTTGTGACTTGTTCCTTGACCATGACAAGATGAGCGAGCAACTCATCAGCGCCGACATCTTGGACAAAAACTCCAATCTGATGGTGCAGCTGAAGGGGCGCCTTGACATTGTGTATATATCCTTGTTCCTCCATGTGTTTGACTGGGACCAGCAGGTTGTAGTGGCGAAGCAAGTACTTGAGTTACTTGCTGCGAAGCCTGATTCACTCATCGTGTGTCGCATTGTGGCATGCCGGGACCAGACCCTGGTAAATGCCACCCAGGCTCGCATGCCATACTACTACCACGATTTGGATAGCTGGAACCTCCTGTGGAAGAAGGTACAGAGTGATACAGGCACCCAACTCGTTGTGAAGAATTGGGAGCAGCCGGATGAGTTGGCGGCAAAACATCCCGTGGATGGAATATATATCCTTGGGTCCTCTATTAGAAGAACATAACCGATCAGTCTGGTACAAATTGATCAGTGCACCTTTCTTCTTTCTTGAACATCTGATCCAGGTTCCTACTAAGACTTGCTGGAGTACGCACTAGGAATTGATCGACCATTTTTCTTTTTGTGATTTGTAAGACGTAACCTCAGCTCCACTTGCATCAGAAAAATGCTTCATTTGTCACGATCGACGACGTAGGAAGCACTCTCCATAATTCTGCGGTCGGGAGCCAGTACCTGATAAGGTTACCTGGCAACTGGTAGGTACGCCACAAAGTATTGGCCCTTGATACAGTTGTAATGTGTCTCATCCTGTATTGATATTGAAAAAAGAAAATCCTAAACACGCAGTACTGCGGGAACTTGGGATCCACTCAACTTGCATAAGATGCATGACGCGACACGAGAGCCGGGAAAACGAAAATAAAAAGGTCAATAGTGTTATGCATAGGGCCAAGTCTCTATGTCTATAATGCACAGAGGTCACAGGGATTATCTGCAATTAACTAATGCATTAGAAGCCAATGGGTGGTCATAGTCATAGTCCCAACAGGGTCCCGGTCTTTCAATCTAGGAGCTCTAGAAAAATACCTGGCCCATACCGACCGCGATAGTATCCCCATCCTAATCTCGTCTCTACTGAGCCTTTCTCCAGATCCTTCTTCAATCCACCAATATGAATTTCTTATTCCGCTCGCGTCCGGCTCAACCGGCCACAGTGCCTTCAGATACAATAGTACCCCTTCGGTCCTGGGATACAGCCCTGTCCATGCGTGGTACAGTCCTAGATACTGCATTGATTTTCCACGATGTGCTGGACATCTCCAAACTTCATGCTGCTCTGGATCAGCTGTATTCCACTGGCAATTGGAGGGAGCTTGGAGCTCGACTACGTCTGAATGTAAGTCATATCATCCTCTGATGAGATCTTACTACATTGCCAAATATCCTCATCTAATGATTGATCTTTCCCAGGAAAACGGACGTTTAGAGTATCATATACCGCAATGCTATGACGATGCCCGACCCGCCTTTATATTCACCTATGCCAGACACGAGATGCCCATCGGTTCCCATCCGCTGGCAGCCCAATTCCCCGAGGCCACAGGGAAAGCCACGCTCTTCGCCTCACCAGAAAATTTTACTCCGCTTGTGCGTAGCAAGGCTACTCCCCGAAAGCTAGACGACTGGATATATTCCGACAATCCTCAGCTTTTTATCCACGCTGTTAGTTTTGATGATGCGACAATCCTCACTGTCACCTTCCCACATACTCTGACCGATGTCATGGGAATTGGCATCTTCATGAGGGCCTGGTCTGCCATGGTTCGCGGAGACCTGACCGCCATACCGACTCTGGAAGGCTTCGAATCAAATCCTCTGACAGAGCTCGGCAAGCGAACACCGGCAGAAAAATATATGCATTTTGACCGGGTACTCAACAAAGGCCAGCTGCTTATGTTTGTTGGTCGGCGCCTGGCCGATTCGCTTTGGTATCGCCAGGAAGAAAGACACACAATCTTCCTGCCCGCGAGATGCGTGAGGAAGATGCACATAAAGGCCCTTGAGCAGCTTGCAAGCTCGTGTGACAATGGATGTGCGAAGTCCAATCCTTTTCTCAGCGAGAGCGATATTATACTAGCATGGTGGGCACGCACACTCTATATTGCACTCGGCCTACTACCAAGCCAACGAATTCTTGTCAACAACGCTTTCAACCTGCGTACGTCACTGCACGATAGCTTTTCGTCTCCTGGAAGTGCTTACTTGGGGAATGCTGTCTGTATGTCACCTACCTTTTTACAGGGACGCCAGATCCAGGAGGAATCATTAAGCAATGTCGCCTGGAAAATCCGGCAGTCAGTAGCCCTGCAGCAAACGGCCGAGCAGGTCGAGGCTGTTACTGCGCTATTGAAGCAAACTATGGAGAAGTCGGGCTACCTCGCATTGATCGGTGAGCCCGGTATGCTGCTTCTCTCGTCTTCAAATTGGCACAAAGCTGGAATGTACGGCTTGGACTTTTCTTCGGTGGTGACTGCGTCTGGAAAAGACCTTAACAGCCGGGCGCACGGTATTGGAAAGCCATCGTATGTAAATGGAGTTCTACATTCCGATCTATCATTCAGAAATACTTTTGCTGTGACAGGAAGGGATGCTGGTGGGAACTGGTGGCTCAACGGCGTTCTGCGGACTGATGCATGGGTGAAGGTTCAGGGAGAGCTTGAGAAAATAGAAGATTGAGATTTGGTGATATTCATATGTCGCTGTCTATGCACGCACGCGGAGTCTGCTATTTATATACACTATACCTCTTCTCGTAAATATGTTGTCCCTTTGCAGATTTGAGTGTCATATATTATGAGACTCTGGATTAGCAAGACCATGTTTGCGAGATTCGGAAATTTGTTCGTCCGCAGTGTCGTTCATATCCCTTACTCCTCCTGCGCCTGATAGCCTAGAATCACTTAATAGGCGGACAGTATTATTGTCCTCCAAGTTAGGGAGGGTCGTTGGATGGATATTTGCCCGGCATTCATTACGGACAACTGTTCACAGTCATTGTTTTGTATCCATGCCTATTAGCTATTGCCATACTTGCGATGGCCAGTTCAATACCGCAAATAACGGTGTCACGCAAAATCATACGCAGTTTCTACTGTTTTCAGCATGTGATGGCGTATTCAATGATCGTTACAAATCCCCGAGCACCCAACCCCCTAACGCTGTTTCAGTCTAAGACAGTTTTGCGGATCCTAATCGTAGATCCTGGAGCCACCACAGCCTTGCAGGGGAGTTGCGGCTAAATTATCAGGCCGGAATTCAATTTCGGCTGCGTATACTCGTAAGTCCTGGAATGTACGACAACATGAGCCTAAGGTGGATCCGGGTCCTTCGCTACATGTATTGCTCAGGCACCCTTTGCAAGTACAGGAGATGCAGATCGATGGCTGTATGACCTAACGAGTTAGGTGACGTGGTAGAAACATCTTATTGAAACGGCAGGAGCTGGGTAGCAAGGGGCACTTGCGGTATAAACCAAATCGAAAATACGACCGCAACGCAAGTGACATATACAGCCTCTGTATATTTTACAAGGCTTAGGTAAGTAAGCGATGCAGTTATAAAGTTCAGGTACAATTCTTGGGTTCACCTCTTCTCTATTTCTTGCGATCCATAGCACCTAAAAAAATGAAGTTCTCAGCTGTCTTCCTGGCCGTGTTTGCCCTGGGCATTACCACCCATGCCGCCATTGATGACAATGGCACCGACGACGCACGTTCTTGTCTGCGTAAAAGAGCACCAGAGCAATTCGAGTGTGTTGGAGGAAACTATGTGAGAATTTCCGATTCGTACCCAATGAGGCTATGTTACTAATACTATCTGTAGATATCAGTGTGGAAGAACGTGCGTGACATGTGCAGACGATATCATGGTATCAAGCTAACTCTCACTCTTAGGGTGCATGGACTTGCTGCGAGCTCGAATACTAGACCTGTTTCTGTAGATGCAAGCTTGAAGACATGAAATTATGATTGGACTTCTGTTTACACAGCCATGATTCATAGTGGTGAAGGAATTGGAGAAGCATGGTTACATTACGATGCATCTGTGGCAGTATCCGTGTTCGTACCTAGTTAAGCAGTGACTACGTGCAATTCTGGCACGTTTTCACGATGGATGGGGTCAATAGTGAAATATCAGTATATAATATTGGGGGACTATCTGCATGATGCATATTAATGAGTTTGAGAAGGCTTAACCCAAGTCAACTTCAACCTAATCACAAAATACACCGACCTTTTTCTGTGAGGGTTTATTGGAGAGTTTGAAGCTTTCCTTTTCTCATTGATCATGATAATGTAATGCTACTCAATGAATGCAACATCCGTATTGGGGTTTCCTGAACTGTCACTTGTGAATGTTATGCCACCTTGCAAGTGTACACATCATACACAGACAGAAATGTCTCTCATTTAGAATTGGGCAGTATAGTAGATAATACTCTCTCTAGTTGATAATGACTAGCCTTTCATTACGTCAACACGTTTGTTGAACAATTGCAGTCCTTTTCTCTCTTCTGCTTTTCGGCACTATTGCAATAGTAACTCTCATATATTCGCTTCTCTGGTGGGCCTAACTTCATTCTTTGAATATCCAGCGAGTAGAACTTACTTGAGGTATAGGTTTGCGTCAACGAACCGCTGCCTATACGTGATTCTTCCCATCGCTGCAATGCAACTACAAGGTCCTGTGTTGCCCCACTCATCTCTACCCTCTATAGCAAATCTCACAATAAGAAGAATAATAATAATAATAATAAATCATCATTTTTTCCTTACATTGATAAATTAGAAGGTAGCTGTAGGAAGCCCACATTGGATGGTGATACATTCTAATGCAAGGGATTCCCATGATAGTGTGTGTACCCGCCAAGAATTTCGAGGAAAAGTATTATAATATATTTGCTGGTAAGATTCCTGATTAGAAGATTCGCCATTCCCCTTCATTGCGCACCTCTTGTGTAACCATCTCTGCCCTTCCGCTTTGGGCTATGGCGGACTCGACTCTCACCGACTCACTTAGATTGCAAGGGTATTCCGGGGCATGACCTCGCTCGCATATTGATACGACATGTGATTTCTCAGCAAGTACACATTGCACTGTTTAGATAGTTCTTAAAATGGCGTTTCTTATCTGTGTGAGATCCCTCATTGAATTACCAGTCAGATAATATCCACGCTGCTCCCATCCATTCTGAAGGTTCTATTGTTATTTTATTTACTTTATCATTGATCCTACCTCGAAATTATGGAGAACCTTCACACACTTGCTAAGACTGGCACTCTCACCCGGTCCAAGCTGACCAGCTACCTGGCACACCAGGACATCGATGACCAGGACGATTATGGTGAAACACCACTTTTCCTTGCAACCAGAGGCGGCCATGTGGGTTCTGTAAAACTTCTGTTGCAGAGTGGAGCAGATGTCAATGAAAAGGCCCCTGATGGGAAGACTTCCCTTTATATGGCTACTCAGGCACCCGCAAACAACGCGTCTATCATTAAGCTTCTCCTGAAGCACAACGCCAAAGCTGATGGCCCCATCCCGGAGTTGGGAAATGACACCCCGATCATGGAGGCAGTCAGACAGGGAAAAAGCCCAGAAGCCATACGCCTCCTCATCGACCATGGAGCATCGTTGACAAACCGGAACCTCAGTGGTCAATCAGCCCAGAGCCTTGCAGATAAGTCAACAAATACTGCTATTCACAGAGCTTTACGCCCGAAGAATGAGCAGCCAGGATGGAAGCATGAGTTGGAAAATCTCCTCGTTAGCTCGGCCCTTTTTGGTCTCGCCTATTTTGGCAAATGGAAAGACATCGGTAGCAACGCCATCAGACGCGTTGCTGCCCTGAGCGTGCCGCAAGCCAATGTATGAATATCATTATAACCTTTACGTCTGCCTGTAACTAGATCTGCTAACTTTGAGACAGGCCAATGTATATCCGCAGACAAAGGATGACTTTAAGCGTCACCTTGAAGATTTTATCACAGAAAATGGCTTGGAGGACTTTTATCCACATGGTAATGATTATGTGCAGCAGGTCGCGGGAAAGGCAGCTGAGCTACTGGAAAATGGCTCGCCTAGCGCCCAATGGTCCAAGAATTTAGCCATCATGTCCCGGCACGCATTATACCAGCCGATTCTTTATTGCGGTGAGTGCGAGCTCAGCGCTATTTCAACGGCCATTATCTGACATAAAACTCTGTTAGATGACAGTGGCTCAATGGAAACAAATGATACAATGCCAGATGATAGCGGGACCCCGATGCTCGAGGATCGAATGACCCGTCAGGCCGACTTGGTCGAGCGGATGGCGGATCTCATGACTCGCGCAGCTCCTAACGGCTCCGTGCATCTCCGATTTATTAACAAGATCGATGGAAGTGCAAACAATCTGATGTACGATCAACTGCGGGATAGAATGACTTTCACCCCTAGAGGCGCGACGAAGCTCGGCACAAACCTTAAAGCCAAAGTCTTGGACGAGTTCCTTTACGAGCGAATCAATAGCGGTGCCGAATTGGAAAGGCCGCTTCTCATTCTGACGATAACTGATGGTTGTCCCAATGAAGAACCTGAAGGAGAGTTCCGCAAAGTAATCCAAGATTCATTGGCTTATGTTGCGACTAAGGGCTATGGACCAGAGTGTAAGCTTCTTTCGTTACTGGACTTGTGCGTCAGTCGTGTTGACTTCATACAGGCCTTAGGTTTGATCTTAGCCAAGTAGGCAATGACACTAAGGCGAGTGACTTCTTGAAAAGCTGGCAAGGAGATCCTCTAGTGCCTGCCAGGGTCAACGTTACCGCCGGTAAGTGGTCTTTCTGCCACAGACCCCGATTGAAGGATAAAAAGAATATATAAAAAACGGAATTAGCCAAATGCTAACCCAAAAACGAAGAGCATTTGGACGCCCGTTTCCAAAGTTTCAGAGATGGGGACGAGGGCTTTGACCAGTGGGTATGTTTTCATCCGTTTTTATAAGGTGTGGCATGCTGTTAACAATTTTACTGTAGCTGTTGGAGAGGCTCAATCTGAACCCTCTCATCAACTACTAGACAATCGGCCTGTGTAATGGAACCCGGAATACGCCGTAGATTGAAGGCGCAGTTATTTCAAATATGTCAATGATCTAAACACGAGGGTATGGGGTGCACGGCTATAAGCGTTAGCACTCCACCTCTGCATTTTCTCACCAGGAGCGAGATCAGATCCGTTCTCTGGGGTCTGCTTATTCTCAATTGATGCCTTTGATGTAGCTGACCAGCCGGCATATTCGAACAGTTGGCCGGGGCACTCTCCCTCTCCTTCCCGGTGGTTGTAAAGCTAGACTACCAAATTGGCTACATCGCGACAAATGCAACTACCGAAGCGTAATTGATTACTCGCCTCGACTCCCCTTCTATCGAGAGAGCCACCCCCATCAAGCTGTAAGGGATCTTCTCAAGACCATATCTCTTATGCAACTACTGTACTGCATACCCACCCGGTATGCAGGTTTGGTTCGGAATTCTCTTATTGAATTTTGCATGTAACTTGTATACTACATGCCTAGGCCGTGAATAGCAGCGATGTATTAACGTATTTGGAATCCTTCATCATCCCTCTCTTGACTCTCACTAAGGTTAACCTGGACATCCTTTGCTCCGCATCAGATTGAGTTAACGGTTCGCGGAAAGCACCTCTCAATTAAAGTCTGCCTATTAAAGTGGGCTATTTCATAATTTTCCAAGTGAAGAATGAGTGACATGTCGTTGTCTCTGTCTTATTCGCAAATCGCTGCGGAATTTGGAATTAAGGGACATCAAAGGCCACCCACATGCCGGTTGATGCGGCTACTTAGAGGGTTTCTTTTTTTTTTTTTTTTTTTGTTTCTCCTTTTTTTTTGATACCAAGAATTAGATCGCCTTAGTATCCACAATGTGGTCGACTTCACACTCTCCTTCGCCATGACAGGAACGGTCCGTGTCCAGAAGTAACTCTATCGCCGTGTCTTAGATTTTGTATCACCCATCTCTATTCATGCAGTGTTTATGTCATAACCAGTAAGGTATATTCCGCTTTTGGCCAGGGGATTGAGATCGACCACGGGTCCAATATGCAACAGTTTCACCCTAGCTTGGTAGCAATTGCCCTTTGAGCGTTGAAGTCGGTCTCGCGCGGTTTGCACGCAAATCCCTGGCTCATTGAACATATAAAATGGAGCTAATCAATTCCTTCACTATAATCATTTCGCATTATAGCTCAAAAATATCTGCTTACCATGCCTTCCATTCGTACTGGACTGGCCCTCGCCAGCCTAGCATGGCTAGCCAACGCCAATACACCGGTTGTTCTCACCCGTGTTGATTGCACAACTCAGGTTACAACCTCATATCTGCCGGGCCCAACATTTATTCCAGCCAATCCTCCAATGGAGGGATCTGGAGGGCAGTATTGGTGCCCTGTCTATGGTAACCTCTCGTCGGAAAACTCAGACAACCTTGGGACGCCTTGCACCGAAGGCTTCAAAGATCCAGTCTCGTTCACTCTCTTTTGGAACAGCCTGAAAAACCCGAAGTACACTGCGCAGCAGAAACCTGGTCCGCCCCAGCCTATTGAAATGTTTACGGATTGGGAGTTTGAGACATACCTCAGCGTCAAGGACATCACAGAGGCAGGTCTCACAGTTGCCATCGATGGAAAGGAGTTGGGAAATACCTCTATCCTGGACAAGAGCGGACATGGCCTGCATGGATCTTGGAGAATCCCTGCTGGTAAGATTCCCCACCACTTAATTCACATAGCAGCATTCTGAGTTTTATCTTTAACAGGAGAAAATACGGTTCGAATTTCATGGAAGTATCTGTCTGACAAAGAGGACCTTGTGAAAAGTCTTGATTCTGTACCAGGTCAGTTTCAGTTTGACCGGGTTGTCTCTTGCAATCAAACGTCTGGCGGAAATGGGAACACAGGAAACGCGGATGAAGAGGAGGAAGAGGATGAAGAGGGGGAAGAGGAAGAAGACAATGAAAACACTGGTATGTTGAATGTCAACAAGCTGTTCATTGAGAAGGGCTAACCATCCGGGACAGGTACTACCTCCACTGGCAAGACATGGAAGAGAACTGCCGACTCGAGTACGTACAACCAACTCGCGTCTTCAAGTGAGCGACACTGATAATCCTTTAGACAAAATTGGCAAGCTGGGCAAAACCATTCACAGAGGGGTGAAGCCAGGGTCCCCAGCAGCTTGCATTGAGCTTTGTGCTCAATCTGAAGACAGAGGCTGTAAATGGGCAGCCTGGACGCCGGCGGATGGGAGCTGTTTTACATATTCCAGTGCTATCTCAGAGCCGTACGTGACCCTCGTGGGTTCAGACCTTCTTGTTTTCACTTGAGCACGCCCTTGAGGTTACTCAAAAACATGGAGGATCAAATTTCAGGCAGGTTTCTCTGAAGCAAGGAGCTGATTTGACCCTAGAGGTGGTTGCTCACTTTGTACTCGAATATGGCCTGTGTCAGGAGACAAAGATGGCACATTAGCAACCATTTGTCAGTTAGGTAGCATGTATAAGTATTGGTACAATCTCATGAATTTCTGACTGTATTAATGTATTAGCGCTGCCCAACATGCTATAAAAACCTTGAATCCGACGCTAATAATGCTTCTAGAACCAACTCAGTACTTGTGATAGGGATAGAATGACATCATTGGTAATGCAGCATATGTAACCTTCCTCTCACAAGTCAAATGTCAGCAGTACCTCCACCTGTCGTGGGCAATTTACATATCAGTGGCATAGAACAGTGCTAAGCATCTCGTACTGGTCTTCGTCTGCCAGTGGCACTTGGGAGGGGAGGTTGAGTCTTGCAGAGCGGTAATCATTTGAGAATGGGTCAAAGCCTCAGGGCACGTCGGCGCTTGGAAATGGGGTTGAGGTCCTTGGTGTGAATTTTAGGCACAGGTTTGATTGATTGTACTGGTTGGAAGTTGGCCGAGGCCAATACGGCACACACATCATTTTCCATATATGGGTTCTCTGTCGGTTTATTGAGAATTTTTATCTCCGTATCGCTGCTTGATATCTTTGCATGGTGCTTTCCTTTTTTCGTCACTAACAAACCGCTTGTCCGCCATCTGAGCGATGGCCTTCGTCGTAGTGAAGTAGCCAGGCTGATTGACCTAGATCAAGAACTATTACATTCTCTGCTGTTTCGTGAAGAAATATAAGATATCGAGGGAAGAATGTATCGTGGGATTTTTGATACCGATTCTTAATAGAGCATAGTGATTTTCAGAAATAAGATACATAACTTATCACCCCTGTCGCCAACGTGGGTGACGTATATAAGGGGAAGTTATACTCTGTACTCTGTGGCTTTTGACCCGGGTCTCGGGTTTAGACGCAAAGACGGCTTTATAGGTAGTGGTTACTTATAGTATCCACTCGTTCGAAAGATGATTATATCCCTTCGTATAGCCGAGGCTGCTATACTGTCTTGAATTGTCTATAGCAACAGATACGATACCCTACTTAGGACTACCAGAATCAAAATCATTGATACTGCGGTCCTACGGGTAGGCGCAGGAATATATAACGAATTTTTACCGGGGTTTCCAAACTACTTTTCGCTCAAAATTCTTCATTGTATTGATTTCCTATTTCATGATACCTAAAGTAAGAGTTGCAAGATATCCTGAAGGATGCAGGTAACAAAACAAAAGGGCGTGCATAATAACTGAGAATCTGTGCGCTTAAGGATATGGCCCCATCCAGAATTGGCCCCCAAATTAGGCTCGCTCGGCCCGAGCTTTAAGGTCCCGGTGGAAGATGTCAAAATGGGCGGCCATTTTCTTTCCAAGCAGCGAAGAGCTCATAATGAATGAAAGAATACCCTTGAGATCCTCAGTCTGAGTGAAAACAGTGGATGCACCGTTATTAGCTGGCTCCATGTGGAATTTATGCAGACCAGCAATGGTAAATACAGGCGGGCCCTGCCAAGAGAATAAGTTCTCACTGTTCTCCTGAAATGTAATCTTCAGCATTTTCTCCTTGATCATAGGTTAAAATCCGATTATTCACCTTGACTTCAGCCACAAACTTGAAGTTTTCAATATTGACTTCAATCTTATCTCCGGAGCTGAGCGTTTGTGGGGTCTTGTTGCTGTCCTTGACCTGGATTTCCTTCAGCCATTCCGTGTGCCACGCGGGATATGCCGAGAAGTTAAGCAACTGCAATCGGAACTGAATTAGAGCCTTGTTTTCGCCACAAATTGACAGTCGGTTTCAGGAACGTACAATATCGCGCACTTTCGCGGGGGGGGCGGCAATCTCAATCGTGCTGGTAATCATTTTGTTGATGGTGGTGATCAGGAAGTTCGAAGACGCGGGAGAGGGGACACCTGAGACTAGGGGTGCGTGCGTGGAATTAGTATAGTGCACATCCCTGCTGGATCCATGCTAACGCCTTGGCTGCAGGTAGGCTCACTTCTTCAAAAGGGGGAAACCGTTGATGACGTCTTCGTGGGAATGATAGTGTCTCTTCTGCCGTTGAATCTTGGGATTACAGAGTAAATAAATACGAGAGGATCACATTATTGTGGTTCATAACTGACTGTTGGAAACACAAGCCTACAGCCGCTCAATGAGAAACAGCAGGTTGGCTAGGATCATCAGTCTACTAAGAGGTGTTCAGTCATGGGTTATATGATAAGTGCACTCAACCAGATTGACTGGCAACTAGGTATATAACGTAAAATCCAAATTCAACCTGAATCACAACCCATGGGGTTGACATAGGAGCAAGCATGAGGAAAATCATCCGTCAAACTCGCAACAGGTTCATATATACATATATGGAGACATATACACGCATTGAATCACAATTCTTCCATATGCAAACGAATTTGCATTTTCGTAAATCAAGGCTCGTGGCTGATCTTGCTGACACGACGGCCCTGGTTCTGCGCTCTGTCGTTGGCAAGGGTGGAAGCGAACTTGCTCCTTGCGCGAATTTGAGGTCCCTTCCAATAGAAGACGTAGATGGGAAGCACGACAAGACAGGAAAGACAGGCAAGGATCGTACTGGCATACTCAACTTGGAACTTGTTTCCAATGTTCTCGTACATAGGCGTCGCATACATAGCGGAGATACCAGCCAGAAGGTCACGCGCAAAGGCGTTACCACCGGTCGCAGATGCAGAGTAGACACCATAGGAAGCGACCATGTAATCGACCGAGGATAGGTAAATGGCGTAGTTGGCAATACCCACACAGGCGGAGAAAATCATGGATCCAATCCAATGAACGTTGTACTCTTGACCCAAGGATGTCCAGGCAAAGCCCATGAGACCGATAGGCTCAAGGGGTGCAAGGAAAAGGAGCCACTTGAGGCGGCGCTCGGGGGGAATAGCCGCATCACCATGTCTGAGACGAAGTTTTTGGTCACGGAAGAACCATGGGAAGTAGCTGAAGTAACCGATAAAGTAGGCAGCGTTGATGGGAATGACAGCCCAGGCCTGAGCAAGAATTCCGAAGCCCCATCCCTTTTCGTACACAATGGCGAAACTTTCCAGGAAGGTGAAAATCAGAGCGTCGGAGAAACCAGAGAGGAGAGACAAGCAGAGAACAATAGGCTCCTTCAGAAGCATGTAGAAGGGTCGCATCCAAATCTTGCCGGCTTCCTTCATCGAGATACGAGGAGACTTGAGTTCGTTAGGGCCATAGATGTTCGGGTCTTCGCCTGTCTTACGGCGGCGCTTGGCCTCCTTATCCATGATGATAGTCGAACGACTCTCGGGCATGAAGAAGATGATGGCTTGCGTGACAGCGCCGAAGATGAGCTGGATCCAGAAGAACCATTGCCAATCAAGGACTAACAGACGTCTTAGTATATGTATCACAAGGGGGGGGAGTGATAAAGAGTGTCTTACAGCGCTCGATTGGTCCACCGATCACACCACCGATGCTGGTACCGATACAGGAGGACAAAACGATAAAGGCGAGAGGGAATTGCTGGGTCTCGGGTTCGTAGATATCGGCAATTAGACCAAGAGTGACACTACCACCAGCGGTAGAAATACCACCCTATATCGAGTGTTAGTTTATCATTCCAGAATCATAGGTTTTTGCATTGGGAAAAAAACACTAACCAATGCACGGGCGACGACAATAGTTCCCCAATTCGGAGCAAGTCCCGCAGGAATTTGCCAGATGTTAATCAGGAACATCGAGAGCTGGAGAATAGGCCAGCGACCAAACTCCTCACTCCATGGAGCCCAAAGCTCACAACCAATAGAGTAAGTCACCAGGTAGGCCATCTGACCGGTCCGAGCATGTTGGTTGCTGATGTTGAAGGCCTTTGAAAGAGGCTTGATAGCATTAGGGAAGACTGAAGTGTTGAAGTTCATGGAGACCTGAACAAATGCGACCGCAGCGAGGTACGTCCATTTCTTCCATCGGGGCCACGAGTAGCCTAGGATTTCGTAGCAATCCTGTTCCTTGAGCTCGCGCTTTCCGTCAGGCCGTTCACTTGGCTTCTCTGCGAGCTCTGCGGAGATGTCGACGGGCTCACTAGATTCGCTATCGGTGCTATTACCATTGGCAGAGATCGGTCTGCTCTCTTCGTGAGCAGCTTGAGGCTGGACCTCCAGTTGCTCTGGGGGAGACATCCTGGTATGCGGGGGACTGCGGATGGAGCAAACAAGGAGTTGAACAAAGGAGAACATTTGTGGATCTTCCCCAGCTGTTATATTTGTGCAGAATCTGCATGTTACCTCGGAGGACACGCACTCGAATTTTGCTTTCGGTCTTTACTTTGCCGCTCAAACCGGATTTATAGTGGATCTACACTGTTAAAAGAGTGGGCCCGCCTGGCGTAACTATGCATAAAGTGAAGATGTGGCTGTTGGGGACCTACTGTTAGAAAAGGGCTTAGATTTAGATGAAGATCTTGAACAACAAGCACTAGTAATAAGGGATATATTGATGTTAATTGGACATGAGTCCTGTTCAGCGAAATCGACGTCATTTCCTATCAAGGGCGATCAACGAACAAGGGATTGCTATTCCTCCTTGGCGCGCCCCACAACTAAGATCAGTTCAAGCTCTGACGTCAAACGTAGTCGAGAAACATAGCCGACTGCAATAGTCATTTTCGGCTCTTTGCTCGATACATAGCCCGGTCTAGGCAACAGCGACAGGATTGGGTGTTCACTAATTCCACTTTAGGATACAACATTTACAGTAGATCTCTTGATACAGTAGATATCTTGATCACGTGTCATATTGTATAGCGATATGAACGTGCACACAATAAGCCGCACGTGTACCAAAACAGGCAATGAAGTCATACATGATTATTCGCCATAAACGATGTGAAAAAAAGGAACCACTCGGGCCAATCAGAGTAAGGAGATGCGGCTAGCCCGGGAGATCCTCGGGCATAAACCGAGTTTGTTTAACATTGATCGGCCGTAAGCGCAAACCCTCAAAAAGCCCAAGCGTTCTTGTCTGCTCATCACCTCCAAGTGTGGAATGGTCTAGGTGTCTCAATAGCATTCCTTTAATTCTTTCGGGTAGCTGTAGCGGCCAACGTCATAGTGGGCCTTACTTGATCTGACGAATGCCCACTAGAACTGCACTTATAAATTTCTACAGAGTGGATGGTTTCGGTTTAGTAACCACTTCTAAGAATCTGACAGTATCTCCAAGAAGCCATATGTAGTTCAACTCAAGACTTGGCTTGCGTCAAACGGCCAATAGCCGCCAAGATATTACCGGTCTCACGCCCGAAGCCCTAGGTACCGTTTTACTATCCGAACATGCTCTCCGGTCAGACTGACTGTCAATCCTACCCACAACCTTCCTTGGCCGGGATTGGCAATACTTGGCGTTCTCTTATGCACACCTCCTCTTCTTGCGCTTTCTGTATACATGTATATTTGTCTCGATAGTTGCGCGTCATCGACACATAGCCTTACGGGCACTCGTGGGTCTATTAATGCCGTCTGGGGTCGCCCCCACATCCCACGTTCTAGAAGCCGATATTAATTCTGCCTACGCTTGACATCATACCATACCCTCGATCCAAACTGCCCACTGATACATTATCGGATGTGACCCAGTTAAGGGTCCACAAGGTCCTTCCGGGCCGATCGGTCAGTGTGTAAGGAACTTCGCTATAACCGACCAAGCCCTTATCCTCGAAATGTGAGTGAGTCGGAATTTGCACTCATGCCAGAGGATTCCTACAAATTGTATTGTCCTAGGGACAAAAATGTCTAGCTGGTGGCCTTGGATTAAGCTCGAATATGCTCAAACCAGACCCATGGATGCTTGGAAAAGTAAAACACTAAATTCATTACCTTGGCCCTTGCATGCAAGATATTTCGCGTTGGCAAACTATTTTGATCCAAGTAGCCCTTGTTTAATCTTTCAAGCACGGACCTTCTCTGTCAGATTGGTCTACTCCTTATTTGCAATAATATCATTGTAATCTTTTTCTCCATTTCTAATTCTAACTTGGTCGCGCAATGCCATGATCCTCCGGAGCAAAATTTGATGTCCAATACAGGCTAATCTAGACATATAACATGTAATAAACTGTTTAAAGCCAGCGCGACCGTGGTCATCAGCAGGCTAAACCCTAGGGATAGTAATGCGTAGCGCGCGGGGAGATATAGCGGCGGCGTCTCCGTTGTCATCCAGTTCGAACTCGAACTCCGTGAGGCCAATGTTGCCGTATACAAATGAATCAAGGAGAATCCAGGACAAACAAGAACTGAGGATAGGTCCAGCATTTGATGGCGAACTGGCAGCGTGTATAACGGCTGAGAATGAGGTTCGTCCTGCTGTCTGTAGACCATTTGGTTGTAGACGGATGCTTAGCGCGGCACGATCTGTCAACTTTTCCAAAGCCATCAAGGTCTCAAACATGTCAACAGAGTTGCTGATCCACTCTGTGATTTTCAACCCAGGGCCATCATCAGCCGTGATGGTAATCGAAGAGTTCGAACCATCACGCGACAGAGAATATGTCCCCGCAAATCGTTGAGACGCTTGAATTCTGGCAACTTCCTCAAGCGCTGGGAGCACAAGATCTGCAATCATTTCGGCAAGTGTCGCAGTCATCTGGTGCGGGTTGCTATCACCAGCAAGCAGAACGGTGAAACCAGCATTGTAGTCCGGGGAAAGACCCATAAAGCTTGAGTACACCCCAATGTCCCCAGCTTTGCTATATAGATCAACTCGACGACTGTCAGTTGTGAAAGAATAAATCTCCCATGGTGCTCCAACCGAGTGTTGTAGGGATGAGGTATGCGTGGCTGGCTTTAACCATCTTCTTGTGACAGCTGGGTCAACCAGAGCACTTGAAAGGATAGCCCGACCGACAGTAGCCATGTCTTTTGAGGATGAGAACACTCCTCCGGCCCTAGCAAAGGTAAGCATCCTGCGCACTACGCTCTGCGTGGGCACTTACGGGTTTTCGTCACCAACCGTATAGTTGAACCAACTGTAAGTCTCGTTGGAGGGAATCACCCCAAACTGCGGCTGAGGTTGAAGACCAGACCGAGTTAGATTGAGTGGCTTAATCAGACGATCAATTAAGATGTCTTCAAAGTCAGCCTTGGCAATCGCTTCCAATGCGTATCCAAGAATTTGGTAGCCTGCGTTAGAGTATAGCGGCGTATGAGAGGTTGCAGCGAGGGGACCTATGGAGAAAAGCCCCATTAGAGTCAGATCAAAATCCACGCGATTCCTCTACTCACGCGCTCTGAACACGCCGTCAAAAAACTCTAGAAATACCACATTAGTCAATCAACCATAGTAAGAATACGAGGATGTTTAATAACTTACGCTTTCTATCACATGCATAGGTACCTTCACAGGTAAGCTGGTCAGATTCTGGAAGGGGAGGAAATCCTTGCGCTTGGAGGGCAGTCCACTGGAACCCAAGGTCTCCGAATGCATCTGAAATTCGTTAGTCTGACGGTCACATTGCATATTCAATAACTCACAGTCTCTTAGAATACCGGCTTGATGACTAGCCAGCTCACCGATGGTCACGTCGTCCCATTGTACATGATCAATTGCATCTCTTGTATGTTTCGCTTTGTGGTTGGTTCGTAGTTCAGGAACGTATTGGGACACGGGATGTTGGAAGTATTTTGTTCCATTCAAGGTCATGTAAAGAAACATAGTCCACAATTTTGAGATGCTGCCAATGCGAAAAACGCTGTCTTCGTTCACTTCTCGAACACCTACTGAGCCATTTACAACTCCACCATCTGTATGCGAAAAGCTAAACGCCGAATGATTCTCTTGGCCGCTGAAAACTTGCACCGAAAATGACGTGGACGGGAGGCTTCCATTATCAATCGCCTCTTTGAGCTGCAAAGTCAGACTCTCGGTCGCCCTGAGGAAGATGTCGGATTTTGACAGGGCAGTCGGGGCCGGGAATGCTGGCCCAAGAAGGGGACATTCTGATATTGTTTGGGCATTAGCACCAAGAGCTAGAAACGAGAACACCCATGATGAGCGCATATTGTAAAAAAAAAAACAGTGAGTTAAACAATCATGTAGAGTGACCTGAGCTTTGCGGGAAGGTTGTAGCTTATATTGTTTTTGTAGAATTCCGAGTAAGCCACAGCCGGCCGCTTTACATTTCGGAGTCGAAGAATTTGAGCCAAAAAGCCAAACAAAGAATATGTCGCACCGTAAGGTTCTATCGCCAATTATTTATTGACTTGCACATGCTATTCTCCTCGTGTAGTTCCAGTTCCAACCTTGCTGATTCGAGGGAAATATTTGGCCAAGGCCCTAGTCCGACGTTAATGTTCCAGAAGATCGAGTTCTACATTAAGCGAAGCATCTTCTTTGTTTCCCATGCTCTCCTAGACACTAAAAGTGCGCCGTGGCTTTGTGTCATTGGTATTGTTTAGGATTGTGCCCAGGAATGTAATTTAATAACAAGCGATGGCCCCCTTTGGCCCTTGGTTCTCCCTGTCACAGTGAATTGAGGGGGATACTGGGCATCAACAACGCGCTCACGGTCCAAATTGAAAGACATAGAAAGAAGGCAACATAAGACCACTTCCACGGCGCTGTTGATTAGGTTGGTGGTCTTGGCATTACTACGAGTTCAATGTACAGAGTGAATATGCATCTTTGCTGCGCAATAGTCCTCTATTTATTGAATATTGATTGACTATATGAGTAGCTAATCTACAATTTACTTCTTGCCAATCGGCCTCCTCAAAACGTGCAGGGGTTCCAACAAAATCGCGTGACCACCCATATTGTGATCGCGCTTGCATCCATGTCTAGATTTGCATTAACTAGTTTAAAGCTCATAACAATACCGAAAACAGAAAAAAAAAAAAAAAAAAAAAAATGTTATGGAGAACTATCAGACTGATGTGAGATGATAGGGACTCACGAGAGCCCCAGCAAGACTCGCACTGATGGATTTTACTTCGAGTCTCTCACTTGTTCCTTCCCAACTCGCGCTCTTCCTTATCCTCTCCGTCCATCGTTTCTTTGACTCTGCTTCCCGCCCTTCTGTCCGGTTTCCACTTCCCTTCAAGCCGCTTCTCTCAATGACCACATCTACCTTAGACGCTGGATTCAAGATTTGAACTGGAACTTTTACTGGGGCCAAAACGAAGAAGAACCGGGGACTTCGCAGACCTGAACAATTTCGCTCAATTTATTTCGCGACCAATTGCAATGCTGCGCGCTATCCCGCGCCTTGAATGATGCAGGAAGAAGAATGATATACATGTCTCATAATATATGTCTAGATTGTATTCGCCCAGACCAATTCTAGATGCCATGAAGAGGGAAAATATTAGACCAAAATCTGCACTTCGTAATTATTGTAAAATAAGGCAAATCAGCTAAGATCTAACCCTAAAATCGATGTAGTAACTCAATGTATGTTGACAGCTCGGTAGAGATCGACCCCACTGCCCCATCCACTACTCCGTCGGACACCAATCGTAATTCCCGTCGGCATTGTTCCCCCACCACGTTGGGAACGGATGTGGTACTCCACCGGCCCCAAAGACAGCGAACGAGAGAATGAAAAGGACCGTAAGACTGGCTCCATCAAAGGCGCCAGTGATGAGATATGAGTAGTCCTTGAAGATACGGGGTCGGTAGTTCCGGAGGTAGTACTGAACATACATACCGCTGAGAATCCAGCTGAGGAGAACACAGGTCTGGCTTTGGTTGTATGGGATATATCCAGCATATTGAATGAATTGTGCCATGTTGAGCTCGGCGACATCGAACGTCCCGATCTTTGGTACAAACTGGAAACGGAATATGGGTCAGCTTCGGCTTTAGGTAGAAAAGAGATGGCCGAGGGGTGAATACTTGATAGAAGAGCCGATGAACAACCACAGCAGCGCCACCGATGACTATACCAATAGGTACCAAAGAGTATTGGCGCCCCGTCTTGTATAGATATGATGCAAGGGCCCACGAGGTTGCATTGCTATTGAAGGCTTGTATAGTCGCACCACTCCAAGATGAATTTCCGTTGCTGTCGACGAGAAGAGCCCGGTTACCAGATACAATGGAAATCATAACGGCGTAGTTGATGAAGCCACCAAGTATAGTGCCGTAAATTTGGGTGATGAACATGATGCGGGGAGGAATTTTGACTAGGTAGATATGATATCAATGTCGGCTCGAGATTGGAATTGAAACTGAAAGCAGAGACCACTTACGGTATTCACCCATCTTCAAATCATTGGACAGGTTGACTGCATTGCTGATAACATTGTGCGACCAAGCAGCAAAGTACATATTACCGACCGGACGTCCAGGAATCATGAGTCCTGCCAGCATCTTTGATAGATTGTTGGTAGCAATTCCATTGCCATAGCGGGAATATAGGATGGTACTCTAGAGCGTAGTCTTGTCAGAGGAGTCCACGGACGCTGTGCTTGGTACTCACGAAGGGTGCAATTATGATTCCGACAATCAAGGCGACCACATAACCCCACACAGGCAGAGTTACATGCTCTTTCGTAACCACAATAATACCGAGAACGAAGCTGCCCACAAGGATCAAACCATACCACCACCACGGTACTTCCGTGTAGTGTTTGGTCATGTGAGTATGATGGCGATCGTCATACCTCCCTTCTCTGGCACTTCTGTATGCCCGTCGAATATCTTTGCCCCAGAAGAGGATACAATGAACAATTAGAGCACCGATCTAGAGCATGGTCAGCGTGTGAGGAAGAAGTTCGATAGTAAAACATACTGCAGCATTTGCCATGAACATAGCAAATGCAAATGTTCCCGTCAACTTCGGCAAACCGTATTCGAACAATTTGACTTCATCGAGAACACCGCCGGGGAATACGTCGTCTATCGGGTACCTGGTACCGTTGGTCATGAGCATTTTGGTTGACATGAATGGCAGCGATTTCGCATTCCAGCCGTTCCCGTAATAGATTCCGATCATGGCGATAAAACAGGCACCGAGTCCTGCGGCCTGATGAAGCTGCAATTTCAAAGGTAGAGATGTTTGAAAGGATGTGATCTGCAGGGGTCAGCTTGTTATTCTTTCAAGGCGCACCTGTGCGAAATTTCTTCTTACATATTGCCAATCAAAAGAAAGAGAGAAGAGACCGAGACCCTGGTTTGTCGTAGAGCCACCGAAGATATTGTTGAGTACAGCACCAGTGCTACCCGTCGCCTTTTGTGCGGCCAGGCACTGGAAAGCTTCAGGTTAGATCAACGAAAAACGAGCCTTTTCTGGTGATTTTGATGTCACATACCGGAATAGAGACAGAGTTAAGCCACGGAAATATGTAGGCAGGAATAATCTCATAGAGCGACATTCCCGTAAAGGCATACCAGAAATATCTGAGCGGCTTTGAGTTCTTCACTTGTTGCCAATGAAGGCCCTGGAGGGTCTTTACAGTAGGCAAAGTACTCCAGTAGACGGCCTCGGTGTGCCAGACAGCGATGGGACGCATAATTCCACAGAGCCCGTATCCAAACAGACCAATAGAGATGGTGCTCAAAATAACGGTGGCCGCACTAAGGGGAACGTTATAGAACAGATCTTGTGCCGCAAAGACTGTCGTGGCTGCAGCAGCATTTGAGGCTGACGTCGCAGTGATTGCACATATCGAGTGCTCCTTTAGGCTCCATGGCCCATTATTTAAAAACTTGAGAGCCAGAATCCACCACGGCAATTTTCCATGGCCACCTTTTACCCTCCAGCGAGCTTCGTAGTTATCACCCCGCGGAAGAAATTTCGCCCAGGCATTTCCCAAGAAGTAAGCGATGAGTACGATAAAAGTTCCTTGGATTGTGATCATGGTCGGTTTGTACTGGAAATCACTTTTGTCAGAAAGATCGGGGAGTATAGCAAAGAATAAGGTGTATTCACTTGATAAATCTGATACATCACAGCTTGGAAACAAGCCAGACCGGAGGCCAGGAGGATACTTCGAAAAGTCAAAACATTGTCGAAGTCATCTCGCAGTGGTAGCAAATGCAAAGCAGCATCTGCACCAGTGACGATAATTGCATCCTCATTTTCGATGTCGTTCTCGCCGCTAGGGTCGTTTTCACTGCCTTTTGGCGTATCTTTGGTGGTGACAGTGATGGCGGTCTTTTCTTGGATAGAGTCCTGGGAGTCGGACAGGCTTACGCCTGTAGACTCGGCCATGATCGGTGACATGGTCTATTGCTACTTGTCCAGAGAACTCGAGAATGTATTTGAGACTGATACTTGCACGCGCTTCTTATATGAACGGGACTGATACCACAAAGTATGAAAATGAGGCCATCACGCTTACCCAGTTTGGAAGGCTAATTCTTTAAATGTCTCAGGCGATAAAGACTTACATTTTAACTTGTTCCCTATCTAGGTAGCACGCCGAAGCCCTGGCCCTTCCTGTGCCCTATCCTTGGACTCCGGTTAATCTCACCTTTTTGTTCTCCGTGTAAACCAATATCATCTTTCCGATTAACGCGATAGTGCACACATTATTTGAGTGTATCTTTGCCACAATTTGGCTGGCTGCCGCGCTAGATGCCGGTGCTACTCTGTGGCATTGCGGCCACGCGGCATTTATTTAGTTAGCCTCAACCTTGAAATCCATCGCGGCAGAAGAGAGAAATTCGAACCAGGCTAATAGGGAATTAAAACAAAAAAACAATGTCGATAGAATCGTTTTTTATCAATCATCTATTGTCCCATTAGCATTAGCTGTCGACATGATTCAAAAGGCATTTGGAAAACCCGATGTGCGGACGGAGTATAAACAGGGCTCCGTCGGGCCAGCGCCACACTTAAATTAGGGCCAACATTCTGACGATGTTTATTCGTTCCCCAGGAAAAGTCAAGTGCCGAGTTCCTTGGGTTTCCGTACAGATAAGAGATAACGCCACGATTCGCCATTCTTCCAGTGTAACCCTCCCTGTGCGTGGGGCGATCGCGCGACCATCAATTTAGAGACAATACAAGCGAGTAGATATGAAATCGCATTGACCTGGCTTTGGCACTAAGAGGTAGTCTAATGGCATACTCTATTTAGCTATTTTTTTTTGGCTCAATAGGGTGGCTGGCGTCTCCTTTATCGCGCCATCTCCTTTATGCATTGCAACTGGTATCCACGTGAACCGGACGCCCCGGTCAAGATTAAAGCCACTTTTTTTGGGGGGTGTACAACATGTTGTTTTAATCTCCCTTGATGGAAGAGGAATTTCCTGAATCTCTTCCGGTCCATTTAATGTGTGGGCACTTAGGCTGAACACTTTGCATATGGCGTGCTGCATTAGAAACCCTGCATTCCAGTAACGATTTCGAGTTTCTTAAAGTTCACTTCAAGTTTTATCACGTCTCTTGGGATGTTCTTGGGGATGGTTTGGTGGCTGCCCTGTCATTCCTTCCTCGTGCCACCCATAGGCGCTAGAGGCTTGATTGCCACCAATTCGTAAGTGTCTTCATAATGTCTAATGGGAACGTGACAGGCCTTTTTCGCGTGAAATCCGGAGGCTGCACTTCAATATTGACTTGATGGTTGCATCCCGTTTTCTGACAAGTTCTTCTGTCAAGGTTCTGGAACCATAGGGGGTCGGGGGGATTGTCATAATCTGACACTCTGTGGAGAGCACAATTCGTTGGACCGGTGTCTTGCCCTAAAAAGGAACCTGCAAATGACCGGTCTCGCTAACCAACACAGTTCTTCTTCGCCTGATTGGAGAAACCACTTGTTCGCCGGGTTAAATTGCGCGATTTGATCAGCTCGGTAAAGCACGGCTTGACGAGGCGTAGATTGTATAGGTTGGCGGCTCGAGCGGGTCTTTACCAATGATTGAATCCCAATGAGGTCGAAACGCATTTTCACCTTGTAATATCTCCAGCCAAAGGACTCTCTTTATATGGAAGAGAGCGTCTTCACAATTTTCCAACCGTAGAGAAGTGCTCAAACCCCGTGCTCGCTCTTTAAACCGTGGATAGTTCGTTGTACCGGTTGATGCGACCATTCCAATTGCAAGAATCCAGATATCAAGCGAATCATATACCCGATGTGTCGATTCGAGTTCGTTAAGATGACCCATCAGCCGGGTGACAATCATGTCCATCATTGCTGCATGCGGGTAATATGTTGGTCCTTGGATGAGGAACATATAGAGTATAATGGTGTAGCGAATGCATTCGGTTATCGGGGAGGACTTGGTGTTGTCCGTGCCGGGTGTTGACAGTAACAGTCGATGTACGACAAAACAGGTGAGATCATGAAGCCTGGTGGTTGGGAATGGTATCTGCTGCGCCCACTGAAAGACGTTGCGGAGGCGGGTGAAGACATTCCTGACTTCATCGTCAATGCCAAGGTCGCTGATATCGTAAAGGTTCTCGGATAGGGCGATCCAGTCCAACTGCCATTCGGGGATGGGGGGTATGCCATCTCCAATACCGGCATCATCCTGGGTCTCGAATTGGGGATGGCCCATTATAAGCATGGACACCCTGGAGGGATGTCAGTAACATAGATGACGCAAGTGATGAAATGCCATCTTACCAGCTAATCATTCGCGCGGTCAGCGGACTGGTTTGTCGCACTGAATTGATGCCGCCTCTCATATCCACCAGTCTCCTAACTCCATTCACATGCATTTCGCTAATTTCGGTATTCCCTTTCCCAAACTAAATAGAAAAAAGGTCAGTGGTGGGTTAAAAAGTAAGAATTAGGGACATCTCACTTCGATCGTAGCCAGGGTGATGACAGAGTTCATAGTCCCGTCTTGTACAGCAAGGGACATATCGCCAATTTTAGATCGGAGCAGACTCACGGAGTCTGCCATGAGTATTTCGGAGGATTGGAAGCCTTTTTGGGCCAGACGTTCCTCGTCGAGACATGCCGTCTGCAGCGATACATGAAACAGTGCCGGGTCGCCCAGAGCCAGTGGCCACCAAGAGATGAGGAATGGATTTGAGGTTGCGTTCAGGTCAAGAGGGTAGTACTGAAATGCAATTTTATGGAGAACTGTACATGTGGTCTTAGTTTTGATCGACATGGATTAAAGGTGTACTTACAGCTATGGATGAGGCGTTGGACTTGTGCGCGGGGAAGTCTGGTCTGTGGATATGAATCAAAGGGATCAATGGACCCAATTCGGCTGCTTAGACTGCTGGTTGTATCGAGAGCACTGGCTAATCTGTCGTCCGGACCAGGCGTTGCCGTAACGTTCCATGGTATATTTGCATAGACACACTGGATTTCACGTTTAATACAGCGAGAGCAACGCGGGGCACGGAGGTCACAGCTGTGTTTTGCCTTAGCACATGCCGCGCAACTTCGACGAAGCGACTGAGGCATTGTGAAGCAGCGAGACTGAGCTGTGGGACTCGAGCCATTAAAATAAGGAGCGAATGTCAGCGGAATAGACTGCCCAGCCTATAATACACCGCCTTTGCCCTCGACCCGTTTCCCGCGTCGGATTTAGAGGCAACAAATCAACGGATGTTTTCAAGTGGACGGTTTGCTTGTAGAATCGAGAACCTTGCTTGAGGTCCCCGAATCTCTCTCGGTATCATTTCGCAGCTCTCAATATTCAAACTGCAACACATCTCGGCATATACTTACCAATCATGCGCTAACCTGAAGAGGACTAGATCCCGATTGACATCGGAGTCTAGTCCTAAATAGGCCGTGCCCTACACGATTGCAAAGGGGCCATACAATGAGAGCAATTTAGTCCGTTGTTTGTAGGAAACCTCGCTTTTGATGTGCCCCTGATATACTAGGGAATTTTACCTTATTTAGCTCAATTAATGCCTGTTTGTCCCCCTTTTCTTTCTCTACACCAATATCTGTCAGAAAACCTCAAGGTCTCCAAGATGGCTGCCGATATCTCTAACTGTTCAATCCCCCAACTTGAGTCGCGGACATTACTTCTTCACTCATCTCAGCAGGCTAGAAGCTGGCTGGACTCTCTTGCAGGATGGTCTACCTGGCAATATGTCGTGACCTTTCTACTTGCCGTGGTAGTCTATGACCAAGGTAACAAGGGATCACCAGTCTAGATGATATCATAATCCAGCTAATGTATCCAGTGATGTATATCAAGCGAAAGGGCTCTATTGCTGGTCCTCCCCTGAAGATCCCGCTCATGGGTCCGTTCATCCAGGCACTCCATCCCAAATTCGATGCGTATCTTGAACAGTGGGCCAGTGGGCCGCTGAGCTGTGTATCAGTCTTCCACAAGTATGGTTGAACGTTGCTGACGAAGCATCTTCCCGTATGTGCACTAACATAGCCTTGCAGATTCGTTGTTCTGGCCTCCGACCGAGACATCGCCCACAAGGTCTTCAAATCGCCGTCCTACGCCGAGCCATGCATTGTACCGATTGCGAAAGATATCCTCGGCCACAAATCATGGGTTTTTCTCCAAGGAAAGGCACACGCCGAGTACAGACGAGGATTAACTCCTCTGTTTACAAACCGGGCCATTTCTACCTACCTCCCAGTACAAGAGAAAGTATTGTCCGACTATTTTGATAAATTCGTCGCCACCAGCGAGGCGAACAAGGGACGGCCACTTCCTTTCATGGCTATGTTCCGCGAGATCAACTGTGCTCTGTCCTTGCGGACGTTCTTCGGTGACTACATCTCTCAAGCCGCAGTCAAGAAGATCGCAGACGATTTCTACCTTGCGACTGCTGCCCTGGAGCTAGTCAATGTTCCCCTATCTCTATACATCCCATTCACCAAGCCCTGGCTGGGAAAGCGAACAGCCGATGCCGTCCACGTCGAATTCGCAAAATGTGCAGCAGCATGCAAAGAAAACATGGCAACTGGCGCGACACCCACATGCATAGTAGACCACTGGGTACTGCACATGCTGAACTCGAAAAAGTATCAAGAGAAAGTCGCAGCAGGCGAAACAGACGCAGAAAAGCCAACGAACATGATCCGTGAATTCACCAACGAAGAAATCAGCGAAACACTATTCACCTTCCTCTTCGCATCTCAAGACGCCTCAAGCAGCGCAACAACATGGCTCTTCCAAATCCTCGCCCAACGTCCGGACGTCCTAAACCGACTCCGCGAAGAGAACCTAGCAGCACGAGGCGGCGACAAAACCAAACCCTTCGATCTACCCATGTTAGAGTCCCTCGTCTACACAAACGCAGTAATCAAAGAACTTCTCCGCCACAGA